GATAAGTTTAAATAAATAAAATATCGTGTTATGAAATATTACAGTTTTTTCTCTATCAGTCAGATTCTATCGAAAAACAAAATCTGATTTAACTTAATAAAAACAGTTACCATTGATTAGAATGTGTGCCTCCTTTTTTTCTCGATTTTCATACATGAGTAATACCAAAACTATATTAGTAATTTCCTTCTAACAAAGTAAATCTCGAAATACAATATTGCATTCGGCTTGATGATTATCATCCCTAGAAAACTCTGTCTACGAAACTTGAAGTTTAGTGTAGTATAAGAAAGTTTAGTAGAAGTTATTTTTTTGTGTGTATGATTCCTGTTGTCAATCATGTAAACTTATCGTAATGCTTTGTTTCCATCTCTCAACCATAACAAGGTAATACGTAACTCGTCCTGTTACCGCTTCGTGTTTTTCTTTTTTGCGTTCTTCACTGAGGCTACTGAATGGGATTGCCCGAATAATTATATTTACGCGCGAATAATGCTCGATTTCCAGTTACTTGCTTGTTTTTGCGCGTGGCCACAACAATTATTTTCTTTCATAATTGTTAGCTACCTTTTTCTTCAGCATTATTTTCTCATTACGTGTTAACATATCAAGTAGTGTTGCTATTGTCTTTCTTGATTATCGAAATCATTAATAATGCATAGTGTCATCATTGAACGAAAAATTGATTTCTATTAATCCAAAAGTATTTCTATCGTTTAGATTTTACGGTAAGTTATTATATGCTGACTGAATGTATTTATGTGATTCTTAGTGATTTCAAGTCAACCAGTTTATTAGTCAGTAGGGATTGCCACGCTTAAGAATTTTTTAATTAGTGTCAATAAGACACTTTTATGTTTTAATTGTCATTAATAATACGTTCGATTTGATAGATATACGTATATTCGAAATAATTTTTAACCATAGAAATAATTAAACATTCCTTCAGGTGTTCTATCGAAGAACGCAGTTAAATTTTGTTTTGTATAGAACTAAATGTGACTTTATTTTGCAAGCACTTTACAGATGCACAATCGATAGTAGTGGCTTGAAGAAAATGTGAATGTCGAGTTAGAAGTGAAGGTGTTTTTCTTTAATATGGTAACCGTAGTTTATAGTATGTTTAGCAGCTTGTGGAGGGTTTAGTTAAAATTCAAAGATGAAACAACTAGAGATTGTCAAACTATTTTGATTCATCTCTTGAGAGATCCATAGGCAACAACGTAAGAATTGTACTCATTAAAAAATATTTTCAACTATCACATTGATTTTAGCTGTGAACATTATGATTTGATAAATCATGAACGTTTTACTGGATTTTGTTTTTAATAAGCTAGAATTGCTCAATACACTCCAAAATTTGAAAGACCAAAGTATATTGTATAGAAATAATAATTACGATATCTACAACATTATCTACGTTCATTTATCGATAGTTTGCATTTCAATATTAATGGGAAAAGATTTTTTCATCAGTAGAATGATTAAAATAATGTCTCTTCTTATAAGACTCTAAGAAAATGCTGGCTAAACTACATCCGCAACTAAATCTGTTTCTGCTAATCTCATGTTGTTGTTTCAATGTGATAAGTAAGTTATTTGATGTTCTCGTAAAATGAAAGCACAATGTATATTAGTTGGAGGTCCTGATCAACGTCTCAGTGGCGGATCCACCAGTTAGGCTACCCGGCGATCGCCACCCTCTTAAGAAATTTTTTTCGATTTTTCTCAGCAGAAATGAAACAGATTAGAGTCTTAATGCCTCAAATAGACTTTAAAAACCGTTTTTTGGCCAGAAGCGCCACCCCCTTACAGATTTTCTGGATCCGCCACTGCAACGTCTATTGTTGAAATATCTATTAGTTGATAATAATTATCAGTGTGAAGCTAGCACAACGGAGCGAGCACGATGAAACAGAGATTCAACTATAAGTCTTCTCGGAAGTATTGTCGGCCCATAAAAACCGGACCATTCGATGCATAATTTAATTCTGGATCGGATGGTGATACTTTTATTCCCCAGCAATACTTTGAGAAAATTCTATCTTGTTTTTTTTGTCCTATTTAGAAGAAAACAAAGGTGTAGGTAAAATTTCTTCCTAAGTATTGCCGGGGAATAAAAGTATCACCATTTGATTCAGAATTAAATTCTACATCGAATTGTCTGGTTTTTATGGACCGGCAATACTTCTGAGAAGACTTATAGTTGAATCTCTGTTTCATCGTGCTAGCTCCCTCGTGCAAGCTTCACACTGATATAATAATTATAATCCTATCGAACGACCTGTTCAACATGATTCACATACATTACCTGTCATCATAAATTTAGCTTTACAACATATCATTGATTTTGTAAGTGCCATTATATATATATATATATATATATTGATCATAATTTTTCAATCTTTATATATGCACACATCTAATAGGACGGAAAGAATGAAGCAATTATTATTAGGGGATGTATGACTCTCGTATGGATACTTAGCTACAGTGCTTGAGACTATTCTTCACATATATCGGTATAGATGTGGAACGATTATAGTTTGAAATCGGATCCACAAAAATTTAGTAATATTCAAACATTAAGAATATGAAGTACACAAATTTGGGCATCCGATATTCTCTTATACAACAGGTAACTTATTTTCTAGGACCATTGTTTTTCGAAAAATAATATTTTTATCTTGTTAAATGCCGATGAAAAATTTGATTCTACAATGAAAGTCAATGCTATTGTACAACATAATGATGATATACTATATGTTCCACCATTTTTATTTTAATCGATTTGCCCTTTTAATTTTGTCGCATTTCCGTTTGTGAGTTTCATCTGAACATTTCAACCACATTATTATTTCATCTTTTTTTGGGTATACAAAATTGTACGTTAAAATTTGGTTCTTGTACATATGATGATGCTGTTATGTAATTGATCAATAATCCTTAGTGATAAAATCCTACAGTTATCTGCATATTATACGATGTCATCTTTCATTTCAGGAGTTAATCTAACGTCAGAAAGTAGTCAAGGTCAAATAGATGCATATGTTCGAAGTGCTGAATGGGACCTGGAAGGTAATCGATGTAGATTGCGTATGCCTCATTGATTTTATTCTGTGTGTTTTATTTTAGATTTTTCTGCTGTCAATAATGATACGAAATATGATTGTTGTTAAACTGTATATCCATATGTATTGTACGCTATTCGAATCCGTCGACGTTCTCTTTATTATTTTACAAATATCGTTGGTAAAAACTAATACATATTTTATAATGTTGAAAATGAATACTATTACTGTTGTTTCGTAGTACCTTGCTTTTTTTTATCAGTTGTATGACAATACTTGGATTTCTCTTAGCACCAGATACTAGTGAAAAATTAATCTTGCGTGAGTCAGAATAATCAACAAATAAAATTATTTTTATGTATTCTAAATATTTAGAGATAACCATTCTATTAAGTATTGTTATGTTCAGCCTTCTTATGTCAGAAATTATGCCACCAAGTTCTACTGCTATACCTACCATCATCATATAGTTCATGTGTGTTACGATCATGTCTGCAATTTCAGTTGTTTCATTTCAGAAAATTAATCTAGGTCCGTAAATATATATTTTGCTACTTGGCATGTTTTTTATGTATGAAACGTCCAAACTATGATTTAGCGTGGCGTGGGATTCGTCGCCAATGGGCTAGACACACTGAGAAGCCCAATAATATAAATGGTTCTATCGGCAGTCATCATGCTAGGATTCCATCTGAACCATTGTTAAGCAATAGATTTGAATTATTACCGAACAATATTATAAATGGGAATAGACAGCCATTACCAATTTTAGAGTAGCAAGAAAAGCAACGTTCAGAGTCATTATTGCAATTTACTGTATCGCTAGTGACAAAGATGAAACGTTCTGATCATCATCATCAGAATTTATCGAACGAATTGTATTCATGTAATACCGAGACGATTCATCCTGAGCTACGAATGATTATTTCTCAACTTGCTATTCTTTCTCTTCATGCTCAGCAACATGAGAAATAGGAAAATGAATCTCAAGATTGGAAATTTGTAGCAGTAGTCATCTATCGTCTGTGTCTGATTGTGTTCACTGTCTCTATGGCTGTTTTTACTGGACTTCCTTATTTTTATACTTGATTTATTTATTTTTAAAACTTCCCAGGTCGAACAATCCAACAGTGGGAACCAATCGGAACCCATTCGAACCGACTCGCATCCAGTAGGATCTTGTCGGATTTTACTGAACCCTACAGAATTACCATCGGGTTTCGAGCTCCGGATTCGAAGTTGGATCTTCAGTGTCGGATTTCTATGAATCGCAAAGAAACACCGTTGAATGTCATCAAAAGTTCAATGGGTTTCGATCAGTGATTCCGACGTCAGCTCCTCGACCCGGAATCCTATGAGATTCTGTCAGACGGTAGGATACTATCAAGTTCCTATCGGATTCTGTGTGGGATTTCTCGACCTGGGTTCACTTGATAGTTTTGTTTGCTTGGTGTTGGACCAAGTACAATCTTTTATCTTATTTTATTTACCCCTAAATAAGTGTGTTTTTAATAAATTCTACAGAGAAGATACTCATAACTTACGAAAACAGTTCTTAACTATGATAGGAACCAGATATGTACAAAGGACAGGAAAGAACAGAAAAAGTTATCCTATGCTTTTTTTCTGTTTATGTTTCTAAGTTCGAACGTGACATGATTCGCTTGACGCATTTACATTCTACATCCAAATTCTGAATACGTTTATCGCTTAATAAAAGAGTTTCACTTATTCACAAATTTTCTTGATTGATCGATCAAAAAAATGAAATAAATATTTTCGATTAGCGTATTTACAGTGTCAAATAACCGAAAATACTAACGAATGTTTGCTAGATTTTTTAGGATGATCTGTATACATAAATTCGACCTGTACGAATAGTGGCACGGTGAAAAAACATTTCTTTCAATCAATAGATCTTTGTTGACGTTAAACTTCGACACAGAGATCCAATTGTCGAACACAAGACTTGGTCAGCTCAATAACACTGCTGAGGAGAGTACCAGAAGATGAATATTTACGTTGAGCAAGTAAAAACAAAGCTTCGATGAATGCTGGAAAATGAAGTCCTACAAGACAAAAATAATATCTTTGAAAACATGTGCATCGATACTAATTAGTGCATATGGTTCTGATTAAACAGCTTACTATATAGATCTCTGACTTACCGGTTGTTGAGGGTTTCACGACGAATGATTTCCATTTGTAGAAAATTTGAGCATAGAGCATATCAACTGATGGTATCGTGATTGAGGAATCAATAACACCAGAGATGCTATTAGAAACAACACGAAAATGATTGAAGTGTATCTGAATAAGAATCAAAAGTGGGGCAGATCGCCCCTCAAACTAAGTAAACCAAAGAATTTTCCCGCTAGGCATCTAACTAACTAATTGAAATCCGACTATAGAATTGTTGAAAAGACGTGGAAGTATATGGAAAATAGAATAAAAAAACCAACTGCCTTTTGATTATGACATGGGTGTTTATGCGTCACAGAGAATGACTTTGAATAGTCTTATATAGTGCAACTGACACGAGCATAAATGTTAATTTAATGAATCAAGTACCCTCGTTAGACTACAATCAATACTTTTTATCAATTAGCTTGGTAGAAATAGTGCATACCAACACAGCAATTTAAGAAACTATTGAAACAATAATTGCTAAAATTTTTGAGAAAATAAAAGAAAACTGTGCTGCTACTTCAACACGGTATATGCTCACATTTTCGAAAAAAAGATACTGTCGAAATGGCTAACATTTGCATCACTTTGATAACCATATTGCAGTGAAGTGCAGTAGTCTTTTTTTTCATATAAGAAACTTGAAAGTTTTCAGAAGTAATATCAATGACGAATGTACAGATTAAAGACAGCGTGAACTTCGAAATGACGCCGGCCTTGTTGAATGATCGAAATATGGAATCTATGCTGTTTCTGTACATAGTGCAACAATCGTATGTTTCATTTTCATCAAACTCTAGCTTTTCTATAATTAAATTTCGAGAATGCTGCCTATACTTGAAAATAATTAATATTTTAAAGATTGTATGCATTCTTGATTAGTCATTGGAAATTACAACAAATAGTTTGCACTTAGATGCATATTCTTTCGTTGATTTTGTGTTACACAACAGAAAAACGTCCTATTCAGAAAAAACATTTAAGAGTGTTGTATCGAAACATAAAGCAGAAGGGGTTATTACTGAGAAAAATATTCATCTCGCATCAAAGAGTGGTAGGTTATATTGTTTTTAATGTGAGATGTACCAAATTTAAAAAAATTGAGAAGTATCTAAATCTTTTCATACAATAATATTATGTTAGTTTATTTTAAATATCAATTCGAATAATTTAAAATAAAGCAAAGATAATTTAATTATTAGATGAATATACAGTGATTAAAATTTGAAACTAAACTAAAAACTAATATGAAAAAAATTAGTTTCTATTCCATACAAATATTTTTTAATTTTATACTCAAATTAATGTTTTTAAAACCAAACTAGTTAATCGCACCTGCTTATGAATCAAAATATATTTGTCGAAAAAATTATAAAATCTTCTTAATTTATTTTTATTTAATGTTATCTAAAGTAATCGCGTCTCGGTAAAATATAAATTTTATTGATACATGAAATCAAAAACATTTGGAGTAAAAATTGTATTAAATAGCATCTTAGAATGATCATGAGTGTGTAGAATATGACTTCTCGATCCTATGGCTCAATGGTTCTGGCGGTGGGTAAGTGTCATATTGTATACATGTTCGAATCTAATCTTCATCCTTACATATTTCCATTCAGACTAGTCCAGACTCGTCCACTACATAAGGCTACAGCTGGTTGTATACTCGTCCCAGACGCACTTAATTTTGTATTCATAAACCATTTTCGGATGGGCGACAGGGACACTAGTCACGACTACTCTTATTCGATTTTATGACTAGTCGTCAATCAGAGTACTAAGACGCACATGCATGACAGTCAAAAACTTCGACCAGTCGTGGACGAGTAGATTTTGAGACAAAGACTAGACGGGACGGGTCGATTTGACTAGAAAAAATACTAGTCATTTAACCAGTCTTTTGCTCACTTGGGAATTTACGTGATAATCAAAATGAATATATGTATCAACGAAGAAGCATAATATTTTTCATACAACGACTCAGCTCAAGTAATGGGTACGAAATACTTGTCTCAAGACTGACTTCGGTTGACTTATCAAACTCTGAGACAAAGTGGCTCACCTTGCAAAGTGACGGAATTGCCGATTAGTCATTGTTTTGTATCCACGTCTGATCACTAATTCTATGTAGATAAAAGCAATTTTTTCCAGTAAAAGCATGTTTTCATATTTGTTTGGAGATGTTGTCGGATAAATCATCTTGAGTGACTTCACTGGGGTAACTATTGGAGTATGAGTGGCCTTCAGAATTCGACTCATCGGTGATTGGATCACACTTTTATTGGATTTGATAGTGTTTATGAATTTGTCTACAGAGACAGCTTCGCTGATTGTGTCCTCAGTGGAGTCTTGTGATTCTTCTTCCGTATCGGTCAGGTTTGGTTCAACTTTTTTCATAAGTGTTGCATTTTTAAGCATGCTTTTCGATTGCGTCTCTTTATGGATCTTGTCTGCATTTTTGCTCTCAGCTTCATTGTGCTCTTCGACTTGGTTTTGAACAATATTTTGGTCTTCAGAAGCAATGATTTCAATGCTTGGTTCTAATTGATTACGTCGTAGCCTGTATTTCATATCGAAAAGTCGTATATTCTGTAACTGTTTATTTCATGAGATGTGCTGAAGTAAATAGACGAGGAGAAAATTTTTTGCTCGACTTTTGTTGGGCCTCACAGAAAAAAAACATCGGTCAATCCACAGATCCTACTTGTATACTTACATCACAAATTTTAATGTTTCCAACACGAGGGGTTTCTTAATTTCTTCATCGATTGGACTCGGCTGTGAAATGAATTTACCTGAAATGATTAATGTTGATTTATCAGTTATCCGTTATTATTTTTACCAGCTTCATTTTCGTGATCGAAATCGATTCGCAACGAAGGATTCGCGTTTACTTCGAGTAAAATCGGTTTTAGTTGATCGGTGAGAATAATATCGAAGCCTATAATCTACAAAATGCAATAAACTTAAGTATTCTAGTTTGCTTGTTAATTTTTCTAAACAGAGTTCACAGAAAACAAAAATAGAAGCAACACAATAAGAGTATGCATACCGGAATGTAATGAAGTTAGACAAAATCGTGAATTGTTGTTATAACTATGTGGTAAGCGTGGCATAGGTGAACATATGTTATACTTAGAAGCGTGAAATATTTTCTCAGGTGAGCACTTTTTGTATTTTGAATGAATAACTCTTTCAAGATGCTGCTGCCCTGAAACAGGGGTCTAATCGAATACGTAAAACACAGAAAAAAGGCTGTTTATGTTAGAAACTAAAACTATCTACATTCTGCCATTCGAGCTGATAATCTACTATTAGACTACTAAGAGCAACAGTTCTCGTTTGAAACATCACCAGTTAGAATATATCTTATAGGAAACATGTTTCATACCGGCAGCTATTCCAACAAAGTTCTTCAATTTAAACATTTGTTAACGCAAGTCTAAATTCGAAGATGTAAGACATCTATCTATCGATTGCATAGCATTCGACTGAACGCGCTTCCATCTCATATACATTCGTTACAGAATAAGATATTTGCTGAGTCCTTTTTTTCTTGACAGAGGCCAATAACATCAATGGAAATATATATTATTTAAAGAAACGCAATTCTGCAGCAATTATCAGTGACAACTCATCATCAAATTATTCTATTCACCGATGAGTCTGTCTGATTAAAAGAATCATGTTCTTTCCTTAGAATTAATTTGCAGGCTATTTTCTATCATCTGTTGCTTCACATTCTAGCAAGCATCACAAATGATTTTATTCGTATCTGCGATTCCGTAAATCTCTTTCTGTTTACTTTGAACAAAACAATATTTTGAGTTTTTTCTATGGCAGAAGCTAAACTTTTTTATGGTTCTTAAAGACCTTTTAAAATCAACTGGCATGGATGTACGGCTGTTTCAAGGAACTTTGTTTGGCAAGCTTAACGTAGATTCGTTGAATTCTGCGAATATAACTCACTGTGTTTATATTAAAAGCTGAGAGAGCGAAACAGATGTCTTCAGATTACACTAGAGAAAAATAAGTTTTCTAATATTGGACCGGGACTTTAATTTCCGTCACACACACTTATATCCTACTGCTTATTGATACCTGAAAGCATCGATTCTGTTTTCGAGTCAATGGTAATTCGGACACGTATTCAATGCGAAGTTCAGGTAGAATTGCTAAGATCGTTTTGTTGATCATTTCTTCGATCAACAGTTTGGCTCGTTCAACTTCATTCGAACTGAATTGTTGACTCAATTGTGACCAGACAAGAGTTAATTTTCGCTTACTAGCATTAATTTGGTCCTCATCAGAGGCATGTTTATAATTCGCGCTCCGTTTATTCAAAGAATAATTGGTTAAATGCATGAACGTTTGGTGGAGATTGGTAGCCGATGGTGGTTGGTAATTGACTGTAGCGAAACGTACCAAACCTTCGTTATAAAGGAAGATTTCCAAAGGATCCAGATTAAAAATCAGTACATAGATTCTTATATCAAATTTTAGACCGTCAATGAGGAGTGGTCGATCAATATATTCTACAAATGCAACGTAAAAGTTCATTAAGAAATAATGAATTCAAACCTGAAGCTATTACTTTGAACGACATGTGGTCGATTAGTAGCGTTATAACGAGCCGGGTCTCGAATCAAATAGATACCTTCACCCTGTGAGCCATCTAGAGATAAAAAAAAGAAACTCTATAAATTTTATCTCGAATTCATCAACAAACCTGATGGTTTGACAATGAATGTTGTGAGAGGTCGTTTTCGTCTTCGATTTTCATCGTGCATTGAACTAGCATATTTTTGAAATTGTTCATTTTGTTCGGGTAGAAACCATGTCTTCGGATAGAAATCGAATTCTTCAGGAAATAAAGTTCGCATAACGTTTAATGAACGTGTCAAACTGGTTTTACGTAAGAGATCACACATACCTATGTAGTAAAAAACGCAATGAGTGTTGATGTCAAAATATATCATCCTACGGGTAAAAATTTGCTGTAGCTATGTGTCTTTATGAAACAAAGAGTACTCGTCTAGTGTATCTTATTAAAGGGAGCCACAATGTAATATATATATATATATATATATATATATAAAGAGAGAGAGAGACATTGTGCATATATTGTTGGATTTCAGGTGTAGAGGTGACTGTTAATAAATGTGGAAGGTGGACGGAGGCGATATAACTGTGACTTGGATAAATTACAGCTATCTTCGGTAAAATTAGTTCCTTTAAATATCTATATCGATGTCAAAATTTGAATACACCTAGAAAATAGATTGAATGTCTTCTTTTATTACTTGACTTACTTACTTGTTCAAGCAAAATACTACCTGAAAATTTTCACTTTGAAACGCTAGGGAAATGCTCGCATTTCATGTAATTTCTGACCTACGAACTGTTTACAGTAGCAAAAAAAGCTTCTGCTTATGTTAAAGTAGCTATTTACATGTTAAAATTACATGATTGGCGGAAGACTATGATCGATATATCTTAATGTTCTGAGGTAAAAACGTTCTATATCATGTCATCCCGCAGAATCTCCATAATTCAGATATTGTCCTACTTTAATCACTTGAGTTGCGACACGAATGTCAAGAGTAAACTATCAGCGATTTAATTATGCAAAGATAAAAGTAAATTATTTTGTCAATGAGAAACAGGAAAGAGCTAGAAACTGAAAGCTGTGTATTTTTTTACAGCTGCAACCGTATTTTGTAGCTTACCTGGAAATTTGTTTACTCTTGCTGAAGAAAAACCGAAATTCCTATTGCCTTCCTGAAATACCGCCGAATGCCAATAGATATCAGAATCGATGGCGCAACCAGAGATACACTAGGATTTCGGTCACAATCAGTTATGTAGGAAAACTTGAGTCAGCTTACTTCTTTCCAACCGAGTTCTTGCAGACACATTCGAAGGACTTCGATATTTGATCGAGCTTGACTGGTATCAACTTTAGCCACATATTTTCCTGATCGTCTGGTTCCTCTTTTTTTTCTTGGCGATGCAGGCGTTTTAGTTGCCATTGTGGAAAACATTTTATTGAAAAACTACGTTCAATGTTGCCACAGTGTAAATACGCTTCTATATATGCTAGAAACTCTAAAACGAGTTTACATATATAAATTCAACATTAGATATGGAAAGAAGGTTTTAAAACGCGCTTCTATATGATTTATAAGTATAAGGGGCAATTTCTGGAATTGTCGCGCATACCTAGAGAACTACAATTGAGTTATCTCAGAAATTTTTGATTACTAGATTTGGGATGCTAGGTAAATTTTTATTTTCTGATAGAGTAAATAAAGAATTACTTATTAATAGTCGAGGCTGCCGACTTCAAATTACTCTACGATTGGAAATGCCCAAAACTTTGCTGACTGATTTTAAGATGAGATCAAAGTTTCAGATATATATATTATGTGTTTTTGTGGAGTGTCGAACGATTCTTTACAAGATTAAGTTTCAGATATTTGACAATCCTCTACAATACTATGAAATCTTTCGATTGAATCAACTATATCAGATGAGAATTTCAGAGTACACTTCTAAAATTATGCAAACAATTATTTCGAATATTTCTCAATAAAAGTAATGTTATCAATATTCGACATCTTACCATGAGAAGTGAGTGTTTGGAAGTCTCTAACAACTAACGATAGATATTTCATGTATAAAGATAAAAGAACCTAAGGTATGGGGACTAATCTTTTATAACGTCAACGCTATCAAAAATTTTCAAAAGAACACCTTTTTGTTTGACCGAGAAAAAAATGTTGCTGTTTTTTGCATTTCTTGTCACATTTATAAGTGAGTAAATCGTGAATCAGATTGGATGTCATGGCAACATGACAAATAAGAGTTATTAACGATGAGTAATATAAGTTTTTCATCATCTGACGCAAACACAACGTCAATATTATCAATCCGACTGAGATACGAAAACAAGAACGTGATCGAAACTACTACACAACGTATTATAATTCTGTTTTTTTGAATTTTTCATTGCAAGTTTGATGACGATTTTTCCTTCATTGATTCATCAATACTATTTTAAACTTGAGAGTGCCCATCATCATGTGAAATCTGTGTAAGTTTTATAGTCATGTGTCAGAATAGGTTTTTAGATGAAGCATCACGTAAAATATAAAACATTGCTATTTGAAGTTGTAGTTTTAGTTAGTCATATGTTTGTATTTGCTCAATTTTTTTCTCACTACAGTAAGCTACTGTTGAGAGTGCAAGTGCTGCTTTTTTTTACAGCGTCATCAAAAGAAATTGAGTGTAGGAAAGAAATTGATTTTGAAAAAGAAAAATCAATCCCATATTTAGATTTTCTTATCCTGTGTCTATTTGATAAATTTTTTGGATAAATGTGATCGTTGCCACACGATAGGTTATGCGAATTTCCAAGAAATGAAACATCTTCCCAGAAATGCATCTGATTTCCGAAATCCAGGTGAGATTATACAAAGAAAACTTTGACGAAGTTTTATTATTTCGAATATGAACATGATGAGTGACTAGAAACACATAATAGGGTCACCTCTCTCAATGTAGATGTCACCAAGGAATACATATATGATTTCACTGTTGTCTGTGATCAGAAGACATTCAATACGTTACTGTTCTCATTACAGTCATTATGCTCATAATTATAATTAAGATTCTGCTCCAAGAAGGTGCACAAGAAACTATAGCTTCCTGAAAACTAATAAAATATATCAAATCGACTATTTGACGATACGAACTGTGGAATGAGGTTCACTCTAGGTAATCTCATATAAAAATATATAGTTCTAACTTTTTTTTCAAAATACTCATCACCATACACTGTAAATCAAAAAAGTGATTTATAGACAACTAACAAGTACAAGTAACGTTCATCGATATCGAAAATCGATCCACTGAGCCCTAAGCTGACAGTACTGAGTAGGAGAAAGGCCTGAACAGGACAGCAAATCAGTTGTTTGTGCCAGAAGACGGTGATGAAATTTTCGAAGAGACCACCCGATAAGTTGAATCGAGGCCTGTAAATGGATTGGAATAATTGAAACTGAGGTAAGAATTAGACGAAAATGAAACGTTTTCAAGTGACAGCACTACACGTGAACACGAAAGACGGACAGAAAGGGCTCAAAGGTCCGATACTATCTTAGTTTCAATTTAAAATAAAATATTGATTTTATTCAAGTTTATGTTTTAAGAAAAATTCGATAGTACCGTTTAACGATTTGAGAGGAAGATCGAAATATCAAACTCTTACTGGAATGTAGCATCTTCAATAATTCACAATCACATGAATATAATACTTAGATAAAATAACACCAAAAAATAAAATAATTTAATATAATTTACGTCAAGACAAGTGTGCATTATTTAAGCGAACTCTTACTATTAGAGAGATTCTTATTCTGGAATATAAACATAGCTTCACTTCATATCAATATAATTTGTTTTCGTCTAGGTTGAAGACTTCAGCAACAAAATAAGCATCATTCCAATGAGTTCAGTCCCAGTGCAGCTATTGATCTATGTTATACCTCGACCAACATGTTTTGATGCACCTCTCATCATGCCTCTAACAGGTTGTTTGGAAGTATCGGTTGGTATGAAGAAAAGTTTTACCTTGTTTTTCATAGATTTGTGCAATCCAAATATTAGTGATGTGGCCGATATTACCGTATCGCGACCAATGGCTGGTATGCTAATTAGTAATATGATATACTTACCAACCAATGTTTCAGTAGTATACATTACATTAACTTGGACGCCACAAGCTAGTCAAATAGGATCATTAAGACAATTGTGCAGAATAGTTTATACAGGTTAATTATTTTGTTTTTCTAGGTCTACTAATAGTCGCTGATGTGTATCATTGTCTGTTAATTAGTGAACCAGTACAATCGAAACAGTACTGTGTCCAATTCACTGTGATGAATTCATCTGCCACTTCAACTTCAAGAACTACCTCTACTACAACATCAACAATAGTGACTTCCGCTACAACATTAAATACATTAATAGTTTTCATACCAACCGGATCCGTATCTTGTCGATATTGTGGAAGAAACTTTCTGATAAATATAAATATTTCACTTTTAAAATAAGGATAAAATTTGTTTTAGGAGGAAACTTCGGCACCAATTTTGGAGTGATGCAGCACCCTGTAATGTTTGCCACAGTAGCCATGCTCAATGCTCACGTATGCATGATCGTCAAATGCGGCTCAATATTCCAAATTATTATCGACAACAATACATAAACGAAGAAGCTCCCACCAGATTTCCTGAAAAGTTACAATACCGAGATTCTTTTCAGTTCCATTCATCGTCACTTTTCGATCAATCTTCACCGACACAAACACGAACCACACTCATATGTCATGGAGCTCGATGTATGCCATGCCAAGAGTTGAAACTCAAACGAATGTGAAAATCGTCTGTAACAAAAATGTCTTCAAAACCCGATGGCTCAGTGCTTATGCGAGCCTACATCCAGCAAACAAGTTCTGATTTACCTATGCGGATACTAACAGGCTGCATAGCTACGTATATAGCTTCTCGTATTAAAATCTAACGATGTCTCTGATGCAAAGAACACTCAAAGAGTAAAATTACATGTTGATCACTTTAAAACAAGATATTTCAATAAAAGTATATTTTTTTTATAAAATAATGATTACCAAACAGCTAAATTCTTGAAAATCGCCGATTGAATTAAAAATGGAAACGATCAGTTTGTATTTGAAAGAAAATAATAATAAAAAAGATCTGTAGTGAAACATAGGACGAAGTAGAGAAGTTAGCAGTAAACTGTGAGGAATAAATCACCTTTTCTACAGCTCTTCTATTTCTATCTAATTCAAGATCGTTTAGCTTTCCATCGAAAGAAAAGATTGGGCAAACTGTTTGATCGACGCATTCTTCGTAGAACCTTGAGCATTCGAGCAAAATGGTCACTTCTTTTTTCTTTGTCATTTATATTTAAGTGAATTTTGGTGAAAATTCCAATCATGAATAGGAATCTCTACGCGTGGAAAATATTTACTGGAAACGGTTCTGTTATTGCAAGGATTCGCATATCTAGTGTTCTTTTTACAGTGAGCAACATGTTTTTTTTTCTCAAATAAGGGATCTCTGTGTGCCAGTTACAATTTACTAATATACTAATCACCAAGAAATTTGAAAATAATTTTTAATAAACTTTAACATAACACAGACAATGAATTACTAAATCATTCATCTCTCTAAATATATCTGGATGCATATGTTACAGGGAAAACTAAAACCCAGGGTTATTTAAATAGCTCTTACAGAAAATTGAATGCTATCTCTCAGATGTTTTACTGTGAAACTTCATGTTTATTTATGATCTCTTGAATGATGTGAGTTTAAAAGTTGTAATTTTATGACGAAAATATTTAGTTGTTACCATGGTGTTTACTGTGCAACCTTTTGAAAACACAGTGACGTATTTAGAGATAAGATATGAGTATTATTGACGCTCTATCTTGCATAATAAAAGGACTCTTTTTTTCTTTTTCGTGACTACAATAAAAAAATGACTATTTCAACCATTGAAAGCAAAGGAAATATAATTAACGTTGGTAATGTTGGAGAGTTGATGGCAGTGAGACACAAAAGCGACAGATGTAAAATGAAATGGCTGATTACTGCACAAATCTGTACTACAATACTCATTCTGCTAATGATTGGAACATTTTATCTTGTTGGCTATCCATTAATGAAAGAACACCAAACCATTACACACATTACAAACATTACAAATATTAAACCAAATATTTTGGAGGATAAGGAAAATATTGTAACACTGTATGCATTGGATCCGGTTGCCAGCACTTTCTTTTTCGATGATGGGAAATATGGTCAAATAATCTCAGATTGGAGTGTTTACAACAGACATAGTGATATTGACTTTAATCATTACGAAATTGGCGGTTTTAGTGTCGGTATAGAAGGTTCAATAGTTGGCATAATCATCGATCTGGGTTCTAGTGAAGATTTGCAACAAAAATACAAATATCAAGAGACAGTTGGCGATGGTCAAGGATTTGCATCAATCCACCGAAAAAACAATACAATCGTTATCCTTAAGGGCGCTTCATATAACCACACCTTTCAAGTGATGGAAGAATCCGAAGAGCTGTTTCGAGAAGGAAAATCAGTAGCAAGTACACCTGTTAAGCTTGGGCATGTGTATCTCCTTCGAATCACTGATCGTAATGAAGCTGCTTTTGAGCGCATCATCAAGATGTTAGTGATCTCGTACAGACCTTACGAATGGGTTACAATTCGATGGGAAGTGTTGACATAGCTGTATGATTATCAGTACTATTGATTGACACAAAACAACTATTGGATAATTATTAACGTTCATGTAATCTGAGATTTAGAAATTCAGTAATTAGTGATGCTTGATTTCAATCCATGAATACATTTGTAATTCAAAATAAAAATTTATAACTCTAGTGTGTGTGTTTATCTTTTATTTACGATGAGAAACTTAGAATGGAGATTCATTGAAGGGTATATTGTTCTTTTATTGAAGAATATGAGAGAAAACAAGGGATATTCAATAGAGTACGATTTTGCAATAGTAACATATGATTTTACTTTCCCTCTTTCAACTAAACTTAATTGTAACGGTTCATGAGCCAATGAGCCCTGGGTTAGTAAGAAAGGTACGAAATATCCTTAAAATATACATCACAATCATGATATATGCCATTTAAAAGGTTTAAAAAACTTTTAACTTGAAATTATGAGAAGAGAGTTATATCAGAACTCATCTGGACTCAACTAGAAGTGTCATCGGGTGATTTAAAAAGCCCAATTCAATTCAGATTCTATAAAAAAAAAATGAAAAAAAATAGGATTCCTAGCTACGTTCAACGTAGCATGCAATATGAGAATTAAAATTACTAAAAATTGTACAAAAAATTATCATAAATATTTTAAAATAATCTTGAAAAATTTATGTTTTTACGAGATTAGACAAACTGTATAAAGCAAGGGGGGAAAAGCTGATTTAAATTACAGTAAAACTCAACTTACAATCAATATAAATTAACTGTATTAGAATGAGTTTGCGTGAGTTTCGGTGCCTTTGAATGATTTTCAGTAATAATTTATGATTTGGAATAGTTTATAGTTAGTTTAGCAAATTTTTCGTTTTCTCAAGCTCATTTTAAATCAGCTAAACTCAGAAAAATCATGAAACTCAAAAATCGCTTTCCCCCCCCCCTCCCCTGGTATAAAGCCTTGTTTATTTTAACTTAAAATGAAATTTTCACCTAAAATTTTACATCTGTTTGAAGCAAGATGGCTTATTTTTGTTTCTTAAAATTTTGAAGCTGTTTTTCAAATGAATTTCTTACTCAGACTACCGTTGAATACTATTATTTGTGAATTCTCTGGATACATATTTTCAGCGTCTTATGTATCAAAGGAACTAAGATTGTGAAGTAGAACAAGTGGAATACGTTTGACAAGTAGCAATACTTACGTTAGAGAAAATCCTGTTGATCTTTGAAATTTAGTCTCCATTGAAAGATAATTGTTTTCATCTTTTTATTTTTACAAAAATATGAGTTCAAGTTGATTTTATTTGTAGAAAAATATTTTCTCGCTTGCCATAACTTTTATATGTATGCTATCTGTTCTTTCGATCAAATAGTGTGAATTGATTATACCCAAAATGAATTGAAAATATAGATTTTATTTTTATAAATGAGAGGATTCGAAATATTTTTCTTCATGAATTAATGACCCATCGATTATTCATTCTTTTTATTAGAAATACGCCTAATATTCACATATGTTAGTAACAAAGCATTTAATAGAAATTCATAGTTCTTAGCAATATGGCTAATTATTAAATATATCTTAAAAACGTTGATGTAATAAATAGTTGCAGTATTAAAAACCAGAAAGATGATGCATACTAAAATCTGCCTTAATGATCTCGAATAAAATAAAATATTTTAATGTTCCACTAAAAAAGAAATAGTTTCAACAGAAATGTTTTTAATTTAATGATAATTTCAAGAAGAAGACAAATTACATCGTATCAAACTGTTGGTAATTCTTTCTTTCTTTTATTGACACTTGATAATCATGCTTACTACAACAACAAAAAAAGTCTTACATGTCCTTTATTTCATTTTTACTACCAGAAAGAATACGATTTGATGAGTAGTTGTCTAATTCGAGTTCGAATATAAATGGAGAAAAGAAAAAATTAAACTAAATATAAATCTAGGAATAGATTTAGTTTTAGTTTAACTTTCCGATATATTCGGCATATAAATACATATATACCCCTCACCCGCATCAATATTTGAGCACTCCTCGATGGTATCCATCAACCACAACCACATTTGAAGTACCCCATGTATCCCCGCACCCCTTGTGGGCACCCTTCCCACTCGCACCGTCACCCACAGTTACCCCTTAGTCCCACTCAACCCACACCCACTCCATCTTAAACTAAATCTATTTCTATCACTTATTTTCGAATTCGAACTAGGCATCTCATGGATTTGATGGCACCGTCATCATCGTCAAAAGCACCTTGCAACTCAAATAGTTGCAAGAGTGTGGGCATTTTGAAATGTGAAATTTGTTCACAAAAATTTTGTCATAAACATGTGAAAGAACATCGAGATCTTCTTAGTCATCAGTTAGATGAAATTGTTCTGGAACATGATACTTTACAACGAATTATTGCCGAACAGAAAAACAAAATGAATCGTCATCCCAGTATTTTTAATAGGATTTCGAAGCACAGCGTGCGCGTACACCCTGCTAAGCCAAAAATTTTATTTTCAGTGTGTACTTCATAGGAAAACAAAGTGTATTCTCAAAAAAAACAGAGTGTACGTACACTTTGCTCTGCTATGGTAAACTAATCATTAAAAACACTGCATCATCCTCTTCTCAAGACAATAGATCAATGGGAATGTGACTCTATCATGAAAATTCAAAAAGTAGCAAACGGAACACGACAGCACATCGAAACCTGAATTGGTTCACAAAAAGGTTACTTCAATCTAATTTAATGAATTTTAATTTTTTGCCAGGGTCTGATTTTTAGATTTCATATCGAAAGAATTGCATGATATCGCTGGACAATTACAGAAAGCTCGAGTAGATGATGACTTTGTTGAAACTGATCTTCGTAAATGGACAGATATGTTACAAGGCCTGAGAGAGAATGTTACTAATATTTCTTCCTCGACGACTAATAGCAGAGATCCAAAATAATACTTGTGGCTAAAATATTTGTTTCATCAACTACGCAGCAACATTTGGAATAAGATGACAAATTCGATGAATCCTTTGGTAATGTCTGTATTGCTGAAAATGACCGTGTCGCTTATCATTCTGGGTCCAGACAGAGTTATGCGTTTGTGCGTGGATTTCAGCAATATTCATCTGGGAAATACAGGATTCAATTCTTTATGAATAATAAAAACATAGAATATATCTTTTCGTTTAGTATTATCTCGGCGTCTACTCCCATACCTACATCCTACAAGGATCTATGTAGATCGACGTACGGTTGGTATAGCAAAGATAATATTACTTTTTCTGATACTTTATTAGCAACCAAATAAGCTTTTTGTGATAGGCGCGGCGAAACAACATTTGAAATCGATCTATTACTTGATTGTGATAATCAAAAGATCAGCTATTTTAATGAACGAACTAAAAATCGACGGGAAATGAAGGTTACTATTAAACAATGTCCGTTTCCTTGACAATTACTTTTCAGTCTATACGACATAGAAGACTCGGTTCGAATTTTATCTTCAAAACATTGCGTTGAATAGTAATTACAAAATAAATATTCTTTTTTAGAAGCAACGGACTAATCCACAACAAAAAGAAAAACTACTCGAGATTATAGGTTTATATCGCATTTAATAAAAAAAAGGAACTTAAACATGAAACACTGTTTTCTATATAATAGTGTAAATAACTAACATTAAATATTCCCATTCACAACATTAAATAGATGAATAGTAGTGAAATGTGTGTGTATTCACTTTTTGAAAACATTATATGATAACTGATATTCTGAGAAATTATAGTCGACTTTGATAAATTGTCAAGTAGCTATGACTGTTAAAACACTATAAAGAGGTTAACAATATGTATACCACTATTAAATCAACAAATGATGAGCAGCTCATGTAGCTATCAAGTTTATTATTTTACAGTTCCAGTTTTGCAAAAAATATTTCAAGTAAATCATTAGTTCATCCTAAAATTTTTCATCATACAATTAATATTATCAGCAACACATTATGTAAACGTCAAATAAGCAGTAGAAACTTTCAAGTGTAAGTCTGAGACTTGTACGTATTTATTTATCTTAAATACACTAGGAAACATCTATTCATGCGAAGAATAGTACTGATCATGTAGCAAAGTTCAGTATGAAAATAAAATATGATTCGAAATAATGATTGTAACGATCAACTTGATTAGAGTAGCTTGTGCCACTCTCGGCAAAGATGTTTATTAGGCTACTTCAAGTTATCCAAAGTGTAACGACAAAACTAGAGTGTCGCCTATGCCCGTCGGTGTGATGGTGTATTGTGTTATCTGACATCTCCAGAGTGTAACAACTTCATACATGACGCACGTATATATAGGAGAGAGATAGAAGAGAGACAGGAGAGAGATACATTAGAACAATGGAAAGAGAACAGAAAGAGAATCATCGAAGCGTGCCATCAATATCGGCACAATGATGACTATTTTCATTATATTGAAACTGTCTTGCTATTATGAATATATTTGTTAGCATCATAATCTGGTTGCTGGAAAAAATGATCTATTAAGTGCAGTGTTGTAAATAAATAATCGTTCTACCGATTTCAGCTTCAGATAAATTTTTTGTAGTCGATGTTATTAAAATTTAAACAATAGATCATTTGATTGTTAACTCAATTATAGCAATGCATTTTGTGCGTCATAGTATGTTTTTTAAGTAAAGTGTTTTTTTTTATAACTTTTTTTTTCAAATATTAAATAGACTAATGGCTATTTGATTAAAACTTAGTGAAACTATTCTTCGAACATCTTATTTAGAAGTCATTTAAAATGTTTATTTTAAAGTTAGAAAAGAAATGAGATAAATTTCGTTTGGACAAATTATTCAAAAAAGTAGCTATAGTAGAAAATTTTCTTGATATTTTCATCTAATTAATTATTGAAGTTCGACCGCTGTACGACTCAACTTCCAAAGTCGATCAGCGGATAACTGATTGATGGCCAATGATGATGGTTTTACAGCTTTACAATTTCTAATCAAAATAACAATGATTCTTCTCTCTCCGGGCAGAAACAAATTATCACTTACTGAAAATATAAATCTTCTGACTGTTCTAGGGACGGTTCTACAGCACAAAAGATAACTGTGCTAGCACCAGTTTTGGGCGTTTTAGCCATGAAAAATTTTAAGAAACGCACCAATGGATAACAGAAAATGAATCCAAGCCAGCCAATAGCTTGTGGTGTTGGATTACTGAGCGAAGTCGATACCCAACCGGGAGTTAATGTAAAAACATCGATACCTTCATCTTAAATACAAATTATTTAAAAAAACCTACTTAGATCCTTAGCTATACTACCATATAGTTGTTGCCTTAATTTGACTGTTGATAATATTTGAAATAGTTTCGATGATGGATAAGCACCGAACCAAGGAAGAGCTCGAGACTGCGTGAAAACATCGAGCCAATTGATCGATTTTATTTCTAAATTTCACATATATGAAAAAAGAAACGTATTTTCTGTTTATGTTATATTACTGTTATGTAGCTTCGATGAAACATTAATAACACGACTTCGTCGACATTTTTTTAACTTATCCAATAGAAGATATGTGAGAAGAAAATGGCCAAGATAATTAGCTTGAATTATCGAATTAAAACCATCTGCAGTCACCATTGGCGATGCCCAACTGAGACCAGCATTACAAATTAAGACATCTAATCGTTCTTCTTCTTCGTTGTATAACTTAGCAAAAGCTCGAACCGAGCCTAATGAGCATAAATCACATTCCATCAAGCGAATATTATTTTCATCACATCCAGTTTCAGAAACAAGTTGATTTAATGACTGTTGTCCTCTGTTCAAATTTCGACATGCCATTATTACTCGTGCATCTAAATATTTACATATATTCATATGAAAATATACTTCCGATAATTGGATTAACAACCTCGTTGAAGAAGATCTTTTGCTGTTTCATAACCAATGCCAGCGTTTGCACCTGTGATTAATACAGTTTTACCTTTCATCGATATTGTACTCGAATATAACCGACGATTAATCCACAGTTTATTGAATAACCATATTGCCACAACTAGGAAGAATAGCGGATCACTGAAAATAGTTTTGAAAAAAAAGAAAGGCGTTTTATAATAAAATACCAGCGGTTGTAGCAAAGAAAATAGTCGTAGAGTATTCAGCGAGCAATCGATTAACGATTGAAAACGATTCATCTAAAATTTTCGTAGACATTTTTGATGTGCTGCTGCAGCTCGATAGATGATCAATATTTTATGTGAAACTCTGATCCAATGTTTACCTATCACCATGACAAGTCATATTTATAGATGTCATGTATAATCGCAGAACCCATCTAAATTTGATGGGAGTAAGATTGATATGCTGGAATCAACTCATCGAGTACTATTCTTATTAAAACTAGGCGTAATCTTCGATTATAAGGCATCGTGTGTACCATTGCTTATAACATTTTTCGTGCTATTGTAAATGAGTTTAATTAGCCTATGATCAAAACGCCATATACGAATATAGAAACATATTTTGCGATGAATCCCATAATCAGATGGTCGATATTACGAGACAGTTCGCAGAGTTTATAAGAATCACACAAACAAGTAAAACAATACATTAAAAACGATTGTTAGAGCCTCTTAATATCATATCTAGAACATTTCTAGCGACTGCTAAAGTTGAGATAACAGAATGAGGTATAAAACTAGTGTATGATGGAACTGAACTGATTAGTGAAATCACCTGAAATAATTAAAAAAACACTTTAAAATATTGAAATTAATAGAATATATGCCTGTACTTGAAGACAGAAGTAGAACTACAAAAATTAGTATTTCCTCATCGATGAAATTGTTCAACTAGATTTGTTTTGTTAAAAAAGTTATGAAATTATATTATGATACTGATACTTCATTGCTCTTAATAGATCACAACAAATAGTCAGTATTACTATATAATAGAGGAGCTTTATCAAGAAATTTTGTAAATGTATTATTTTCTGGATAATTCACTTTAAATTTTTAATTATCTTTCTACAAGATACCCAAATACTTACTTTTGATTATCTGCTGTTTAAAACAAAGAACTTATATCAAAGTAATAGATTTCATATATTGTCAATAGGCAATATCGAAAATTACTGAAAATAGGTCCCTAAAATAAAATTTTTGCCGAAAGAGTGATATGCAAAAAACTGTTCAGCAGCTAAATATGTTCTATTCAAAAGAGGAACAATGAAGAAATGCAATGAAAGATTTCAATCTGAACTATTTTTTGGTTTTCCCATGGTACATCCTAGCTGATTTCTGTAAAGTTGCCTTTTTTTTATATCTATTCCAAAATGAATACATCGAATTGAGAGTCTATTGAAATAAGTAAGCCTATTGTTTTGAGAAATAAGAAATATCGTAAGCTGTACCTTTAAGTTAAATTTTGCTACAAAATGAAACATACTGTCGTTTTATTACATGATAATGATCCGTTATTTTTTTCTCTACTTCTTATCCTTTCAATATTGTATTTCATTTTCAATATGGACATTTGTTGAAAGCCATAATCATATTCGTTACAATCTCAGATTGAGTTACGAAACAACTATAAACAAAATTAAAGTCTGCATAAAGTTCTAGTGACTATTATTTGTAGTAAACGCCTCTATCGTTATAAGATATTATCACTCCTTCGTGCATTTTTTGATTCATTCTATCAGATTTTTGTTTGGCTAGTATGCCCGTAAAATTGATTCTTATCTATAATAGGAATGTAGAATGTCAGATTCTTCTAAATCGACATCTACACTCAAAATCTCTGTAGATTTAAAATAATTTTTTTCACACGTTAATATTTTTAATCTGAATCTATGGATTGATGTATTTTATCATTTTTACAAGCAGTTAGCACAAGACAAGTTTCATTCTAGATTAGTGGACGTTTGAAACATGGTGGCGGTGGTTGTGTATTACCCGTTGCAGTTCCTTCAACACCATAACACGCATAATATTGATTGCCCCATGGACGAGAGCCTGGATTGTTTACATGCACATTATCGAACAAAATATTCTGCATAGGATTTGATGAGTTACCAATTATGACACCTGGACTTATTTGAGGATCATTGATAGTGATATTTCGCAAAACAATGTTATTCCAAGTAATACCCGATGGAATAGGACAACTGGCTTCTGGTATAGTAGGCCATAATAGTGAACAAGCGTCTTTGAACGCAGCTTGTTGTGGCCCTATCCAGATAGACCATTGAGAAGCATTATAAATTTGAATATTTTCATAGAGGATGTCAGTAATTTCACCTGTTTCTCCTACATTTCCTGGGCGTGACTTCAAATAAATTCCTTTGAAAGTGTTATGCATAGTACAATTACGAAATGTAATATTACGCACACACGAATGAGCGTCAGAGGGACCAATAGAACCGATTGTTAAGCCCACACCTGACGCATTAATACGTTCGAATAACATATTTTCACTGCAAGGCGAATGAATACTGCTTGAATCTTGTTGTTTTACCGCAATACAATCATCATCATTCCAAATATTGCAATCATGAATCCATATATTCTTACCAGAGACATCAAATCCATCTGTATTAAATGCAGTTAATTCGTAGAGATCGTGCCAATGAACGTCTGGATTTCTGTGTGCATCGATATCAGTATGACGAATTTCCAAATTGGCAACATCCTGACCATAAAATGTCCATTTAGGTGGATTTTTCAACAGTAAGTTTTCGATCAAGATATTAGTAGAGTTATGAATCCAAAATAATTGCGGTCGGTTTCCACGAATGATCACATATTGAATTACACCCCACCAAAAATGACCTGAACCATCAATGATTCCTTTGTTAGGCGAAATTTGTGAACTGGTGAAAGTTACATGATCCAATTGTTCAAAGTAGAAACAATTAAAAACTTGATTTGTACGAGGATCACGTGGCCATTCGAATACATTATCAGAAAATTTAAGAATACCATCAATTTGAATAGTCACATAGGAAAGACCACGTGCATAGAGGCCACCCGTTAACCAAAACGTTCGATTTGCTGGTATAAGAAGAGTGTCACCATTTTGTAACGATCCAAAAGTTTGATTGAGCAACAACGTATTTGCCCAACAGGTAGACAATGAATTGTTTCCAGCAATACCTCCTATCGCCTCGAAATTGATTAACCGATTTTTAGTTACACTCAAACGATCATTCCATGCATTGGCGTTTACATGAGAATGTGTATAAATCATACTAATAATCGCCAGAAAACGAATGGCCAATACAAACGATACAGAAAACATAGTTTTACTTGATAGAAATAAATTGATAAATTATAATGAAAAAAGTATTCAACACTGGTTGTGTAGCTGTTAAAGTAAAAGATAATAATTCATGCAATCTTATCTTGGCCTCATCTACAAAAAAAAAATGACAATTTGAAAGCGAGAAAGAAAATATTGTACCTTGCTTTTACCAAAACATAAACTTGGCTATAACGTTTTCATTACTATCTTCATAAAATTAAAGTCTTGCAATAGTTTATTTTCAATCCCATCCACATCAGTTACCCAGCGAATATATTCTATTCAATCGCTCGGTTCGTACTCATCATCAGGAAAACTAAAAAGAATATATTTTGCAGAAAAATACATCAGAATATTACCAACTGATTCTATTGAAAAGGAAACTTGTGAAATCCGAGAATTAAGAAGCATTCTAAGCTCTCCATATTCTCACAGCAATGTAAACTTATTGTGTCACTATGTACACGTTAGATTTGATTAGTGTTAGCCGTCCTATAGATATGCGCATTGTTCTCGAAACTATAGGATTTTCTAATGATATTTAAATTTCAGTTTGATTGAGATACAACAGAATTTTCTTTTTCAAATTTTTTGGTCTCGCAGATACTTGTCTATCTATTAGAAAAAAGTTTCTTTGCATCGTTGAATGTGTAGATAGAGAGAATACCCATTAGTCATTTCTCGATTTAATTTCTGAATCTTCATGAATTTGATAATACCTTTCGTTTAAATAATAACTTTTGTTGAATATTTTCATCATGGCAACAGTCAGTTTTACTTGACATATAGTTATGTTCAATTATAAGAATGATTCGAACAAACAATTTGACTCTATTTTTACTTTGAGTGATTGATTTAAATGTGTTATTATTTCAAAAATTGACAAGCTAATTGATTCAATAACTTTATTTTACTGAAATACAAGCATTCTATGATCAATATTTTGATAGCAATCAATGTTATAGACTGATAAATTCATTATTAGGAGGACAGTACCAAGATTACTGTTACTGATAGAAAATCAAATCGACTTTCAAAATCACTGACACAAAAGCACAAGTGTCAATATTTAATTATCAATAACCACTACAGTGAATGACAATTTTTATTTCCAATTCTAAAAAATTAAAATGTAAAGTATGTTTTTGTACCATTCTATTGCTTGTTTGACATTGAGCTGCTGTCGTCATACACACCACTACAAGCATATCCAATTAGCATGACCATGCCGACAGTAAAATGTGCGAGAGATAGCAGGAAAACGAACTTTCGATGAATCGTACTGGTTGATTAAACATTCGTATAAAAAAATTGCAAATATCATGGTGATGGAATGGCTGAAAGTTCACATTTTATCAAATGAAATTCTATCATACTGTCCATTGGATGTACTCTAACACAAGAAAGTACCCCGAAAGTCACTCTCTTTATAGTTAAAGTTCTTCATCTATGAAACATAGATGTCAAAAGTTAAAACTATATCACTTTGATTTTATGAAAAAGAACTGCTGATTGTTGTATTGTTCATGTTTTGTTTTGTTTTCTTCTGATAATTCAATAAAATGATTAGTAAATGGGTGACCTGGTATGATCTTCTCTTCTGAGTTCATACACCTCGCACTCATCCGAGAAACGAAACTCGAAATTCATCTCGTTTTTCAAGAAGAGTTAATCATTTTCAACACAGAAACGTTTTCTCTGAATCTTAAGTTTACAATTGCTATTGGAAATTCAATTTTCGACTTAAAGTCTTGTAAAATTAGCACTCGCTTATTTTTTTTCAATCTACAAAGAGAAAAAAAGGGGAAATGAATATAATAAACGAACATGTTTAATATGTATATATATACAAACACGTACATATATATATATATGCGAAACCCTACAATGAAATCAGTTCTACAAAACAAACAAGCGAGACATGTTTTGGCGGCACCACAAAAAAAGAAGAAACAATAACAACAATAACAAAAAAGAACAGAAATCTAATATATATTTATATTTATATTTAAATATGAAGTGATCTTGGAAGAACTAAACAAGAGAAAAATCAAGATTGATTGACTTTGATCTTTTTAAGTTAATGATGCTTGGCAAAAGATAATAACTGTATCACAGCGAACAAAGCGAAACATTTTTTGTGTGAATTTAGTCTATTGTTTATCGGGATCACTCATATGTTTTGTTAAATCTTTGAGCATGCCAAAAGCACGAATACGTTTTCGTCCGAATAGTTTTGCAAGTGTTTCATCACAATTAACATATTGTTTATTATTTGGATCCTAAAATTATTTAAATAAATAGCAAATAAATAATCAAGATGTTTTTTTACTAATAAATTATGTTCTTTAAAATAAGCCCACATTCGTTTGACAACTTCCGAGCGTGGCATCTAAAATAATCCAATGAATAAAATTTAATAAAATTCAAACATTTGATATTACCTGATTTCCACCGACAACACTGGCTAATTGGTCACTTAAATCTAATTCTTTATTGTACGATGTTTTCCGTCGTTCAGATTTTACTGATGCCGTCTTTTTAGTTGATACTGTATTGGATTTCTAAAATATTCCTCAATAATTAAATCACTGTTTAAGATAAATCATTTGAAAATATTTTATCAGTTCTGTATTGGCCTATATAAAATGACTAATATAATAGAGTTATCAACAAGATAAACATCAATCATAGTTAGAGCAATTCTTTATCTGAAATTATATATGGACTCCTTCTATTACTCGAGTAGGGAGAGAAGTTCATATTTATTTTCTTCAAATGTCAAAAAAAAAGCGTTGGCATAGAATATTGAAAAATATCTGCGAATAAAAGTATTAAATTTCAATATTTATTTTAAAAATAAAATTTAATTTTAATTAGAAAAATAATATATTTGTTCTGAATGGTAATAGTTATATTCATTAGGAATGAAATAAAATCTGTTCATTTTTCAAATATCTTGGACTTGATTTTTGACTCTATATATCATTTGTTTCATATTATACTTAAATCAAACTTACGATTGGTCTTGAATGTCTAAGACTAGGACGATTTTCTTGCTGATGAATTTCCATAGCAAGTTCTTCATCGGATTTAGCTATTTGTTGATTATTACTAGTACTATTATTATTCACATTGTTTCGACGTTGTTGTTTCTTTTTCTTTTTAATATGTGATGGTGCTGGTTTTTCATCATCAGATGTTTCCATTTCTGCATCATCATTGTCTTCTTGTTCATCATTATTTGATTGTGCTGTATCTCGTCTTGTTATTTCGGACATAAGAATATCATCAATTTCTTTTTTACGTTCAGTAAAATCACATTTGAACAAAGCTTCAAGCATTTGTCGAACTTTTTTTGATGATAATGTGTTTAAATCTGCATCTTTAAGAATTATTTGAATTTCACGACGCAATTTATCAGCGCCGACATCCATTCTTTTTGATTTATTTTTGTTTTAATCAATTTTCTTAAAGAGAAAATATATAGTTTTGTTAATAGTGAAAAATATCTTATTTAGGTCATTCAATACTTGTTGTATGTGTTAAGAAATATGAAAGAACGAGTAAAGAACAATATGGCCAATCCAATGGAAAATATTGCCCTTCATTAATAATATCTACGAATCAACTTTTCATAAATGACCTTTTATTTTAATTAAAAGAAATTTTATTAAAAGAAATCAATTGCATTTTTTATAGATATATCAAAGAAAATTTGCGATCATTATTGTTACAGATGTCGCTAAACAATAGTGTCATTAGATAAAATAAGTGTGATATACATATATATACAATGAGAAATAATTGTGATGACACGATCATTTTTATTTCAATGATGATGAACTTCTCCAACACTTGAAATAAGGAAAAATTTGAATATGGAGATGGTTCGAAATATAGCTACATGATTTTGTATTCTAAAAAAGTATCCGGAAATGTGTGCGCCGATGTTCTTTGGAAACCGTTTTCCGTTATATATGTTCATGTTTTATCGTTTTCATGCAAGCAAAAATTATGACAAAGAAACTTAAGAGTTATTTGCATTTTGTGTTGTTCATAGAAAAAATTATTATGTAACGATAATTGTAAGTCGAATTTTGTGTCAATTACAATTCAATTCATTCAACTATACTTTTCAATATCTATTTTTCACTAATTCTTTTTTCATCGAGCACTATGAAAAATATAATGGCGAACATATAGGAGGTTTCTTTTTTTATTCTTATTGTAGTAATCGGATGTGTGCCTTTTCGCTCGATTGTCAAACGTGATGTTTTTTCATAATAAGTTGTTATTTTCATCTGTATGAACGTGAGCACATTAATGGTATATTGCTGAAATCTCCTTTCGATACCAAACGACTCTATTTCTTGTTATGCTGAAATTAACGTGTTCTTGTTTAATTTGAAATATAGTTCTCATAAAAGAAAAAGTAACCAATATTAATTGTTAGTGTTACTCTATGAAACGTAAATTCATGTTTTTTTTTGTAAATTCTACATGAAAAATTTCATTGAATTGATGTTAATATTCTGTTTATGAAAAATGTGTTTATGCTCAATTTTTATTATTGATTAATTGAATTTGAATATGAGCCGGTTTATTTCTATATTACTATATTCATTTCTTTCGAGGCAAATCGATTTATGAGATATGAACAGCAGGAAGGAAAGTTCCCATAATGATCATCTTACAATGCCTTAAGGGTATCGTTTGATCTATGAGAGAAGTCAAAATGATCTATATCCTCAATACTAAACAATGATTCTTTCCTAAGAAATAAAAAACACTCATTAAATATATTTCGTCAGACTAATAGAAAAAGCCACAAATTTATCGTCGTTTGTAGTTTTGAACTAGTTGAATTCATATTCATTTCGATTTTCTTTGTCTCATGAGACATGAGATACGGTAGCGTAAGTAGAAGAAAAAAAGATATTTTTGAGTATAAGATCGATTAATCGATTCGATCGTGTTCTTTATCTTACCTGAATGAACTAATCAATAGTTTTCGACGAAGAAAAAAAACCTTGACATAATCATTCGTTGATCATTTTATACATCTAAACAAACTATTGACATATACAAAAATGAAAGTTTTTGTCATTTTTATCTTATTGAAATATATTATAGGAACAAAAGAAACCATTGTCTAAATTTATGTTTAAGACGAACAACATCAAAATATGGTTAGGAGATTTACTGCATCTTATGAGAAGATTGATGAAAATAATAGATAAACGCGTGACAAAAAAAAACTAATTGAATTTGATAGATATTATGAAATTGCAGGTGAAAATCGTCATGAAATTATTTTATCTGGATGGAATAATTTTATTATAAATTCAATCAGAAAGAGTTTCGAAGGTGCAAACAACTCAATTACTCCGGCGTCTCTCTATCGATCAATAAAAAAATGCATTGCTTTTGATCCGTGACAATTCGTTTAGGTCACTACTAGCGTATGATCAACATTATTATCATCACTAATAAGCAACAAACAATGCAATTGATATTTACTACACATATATCAATTCTTATGACCTGCCATTTATCGATTATACAAAACACATTGTACTCGTCATGTTTAAAACAAACGAGAAGAAAAGAAATCTCAAGTCACTAGTAGGGGTACGGCAGTTCCGTTTTAGTTCCGTTCAAAAGAACTGTTCGGACAGTTCTTTTGATCTGATCTGAACTGTTCGAACAGATCAGATCAAATCCTGAGAACTGTAATACCCCTAGTCATTAGTTGTGTATAACAGCGTGATCAAGAAGAAAAGCATTTCTAAACGCAAGAAGAAATCAATTTCATTTTTCTTGTCGTTTTTCCTCTTCTCTCTGCCTTTCCCTATCGTTCTTTTTCCTTTTCTCTTCGAGCATAATTCCTACAATTGACAACTGTAAAAACACAGGACGAACGGCAACGATATCGATCGGTAGATTATTATTGCTACATAGTAGAGAACTTTTCATATACATACATATCTATCAGTAATGATCAACATCTATTGTTATTAATTTTTTCTTCAAATTGTTCATCAATGCAATTAGTATTAATTTAATAAACGAACATTTTCTTATACTTAATTTCCGAATGTTATTTTCAATAATCTTCATTTGTTTGACTTATATTTGTAATAGTAAAATTTTTGGTGAAGCCTGTGTTTATTCATCTGATCCATTAGTTCGATGTACAACAGAAGGTCTTGTACGTGGTAAAATTCATAATTTTACACTTGATAAATCGAATTTAACATCAAAGTCAATTGAGTCAGACAGTGTTTATGCTTTTCTTGGTGTTCCATATGCTGAACCACCCGATGGTGAAAAACGTTTTCGTAAACCGATTCCGAAACGAGCAAGGCCACGTGGTGTTATTTACAATGCAACAACTTTACCTAATTCTTGTTATCAAATGATAATTGATTTTTTTAATACAACAGGTGAACAAATATGGGTTCCATTTACACCATTAAGTGAAGATTGTTTATATCTAAATATTTGGACACCCATTAATAATCGACAAGAAGGATTATTAGCTGTTATGGTTTGGTTTTATGGAGGAGGTTTTCAATCAGGCTCAGTAAGTTCATTTAAAAACAGAAGAAAAAGAAAAATTCTATTTTATTTTCGAAAAACGCACTTTTTTTAATTTTTGCTTAGACTACATTAAAACTATATGACGGTTCAATATTGTCATCAACACAAAATATCATTGTTATATCAATAGAATATCGTGTTGAATCTCTTGGCTTTCTTTATTTGGGTACACGCGATGCTCCAGGTAATCAAGGTCTCTTTGATCAACAAATAGCATTAGAATGGATTTATAAAAATATAAGAAGTTTTGGTGGTGATCCACAACGTATTACACTTTTTGGTGAATCATCTGGTGCCATTTCTGTTGGTCTACATTTATTATCACCAAAATCACGTCCATTATTTAATAATGGTATTTTAGAAAGTTCAGGTCCAGCAGCTAAATGGGCTGTTTTAACTCCACAAATAGCAAAATATCGTTCGGAAAAATTTTTAGATGTTTTTACACGTTATATAACTGAACGTTATGAATCGGGTCCCAGTGATCCAGAATATGCTTACATACCAAAACAATGTAAAAATCGTATGGTTACTATTGAAGAAAAATTTTTATGTGTAAAATATTATCCTATATTAAATCAAAATCATTTTCGTTCATCATGGGCACTTGAATCTTATAATGGTGGTCCGATTGGTTATACATTTGTACCAGCAATAGATGGTGATTTTATACCTTATGATCCTGAACAAATGTTAATAAATAGAGATTTTAAAAAATGTCCGATTTTATTAGGTGTCAATCGAGATGAAGGTTCATATTTTAATGTTTATGTTCCTTATGGAAATATGAGTATTAATGCATGGCCATATGTTGATTATAAAACATTTAAACATGCGCTAAAAGAATATTTCCGATATATACCAACCTACCCAACTGAACGAGCACCAATGTTATTAGAAAGCATTATACAAACTTATACGATATGGAATGATTATAATAATACAATACAGAATGCAATCCAACTTAGTTTAGCTGTTGGTAAGACACATATCGTCATAAAAGCTTGATTAGTAACGAGCTTTTTTTATTTACTTGAAATCATATTAGGCGATTATTATTTTACATGTCCAACGGTATTGATCGCTGATATCTATGCTCAAGATCATGTTCCAGTATATTTTTATTATTTTACTTTACGTTCTTCTGTAAGTCCTTGGCATGAATGGATGGGTGTACTTCACGGTAAGAATATTTAATCTAGAACTACTTAGAATATTGAAAAAAAATGCATTTATTTTAGCCGATGAATTAATGTTTGTCTTTGGTGAACCGTTGAATGTTACTGATTCTCTGAATTATACAAATGAAGAAGTAATTGTTAGTCAGAAAATGATGACTTATTGGGCAAATTTTGCTAAATATAGGTAATTTATATTATGTGAAATTAATGATAAAATAAACAACTATTAAATGATAATCGATTCATTTCTTTATTTCTCAAACAGATGTATTTTCTTCTGTTATATGATGATAAATGAGGGACACTGACATATATATGTATATATATATTCAAAGAAATAATCATTTATCATAGTATTTGTTGAAGACGAGAACGAGAAGAATAACAAATTGAATAATCTTTCATATTGATCTATCTAATTTTCATGAGAAATATCTATATTTAATTAAGGATCCTTTTCTTTTTTCTTTTTTTTTTTGAAATCAGTAATCCAAATCAAGGACATGATACACAATGGAACAATGAATGGCGTTCTTATAAATGGCCAACTCGTGAACATATTGTATTAAATAGTGATCTAAGTAAAAATCAATTTCCTGAGCATGGTTCTGCTCTTCGTGCTGAGTACTGTTCATTTTGGTTAGATTTTATACCTAAATTAACAAGTGCTAATTGTATGTAATTGTTGTTTTTTTTCCAGAGACCTCGAATAGCGAAAGAAAGAATTCTGTTTTTTTTTCTTCTTCTAGCTAATATTAGCGAAGATGAAGTTCGATGGAAACAAGAATTTCGTCAATATCAAGAACGTACACAGCAATGGGAATATTATTATTCGAAATATTTAGAATTACTGGAAAAAAATCGAGAAAAACTTTATAACTGTCTTGGTTAGAAAAAACAATTTTTTAATTGAATGTTGTCTTAGTAGTGTGTGTATATTTTCATAGAAAAAAAGGCATAAATAACAATACAACAAAAAGAGAAAATTTTTATCTACATGAAATATTTAAATAAATCAGCATGTAAAAATATGTCTTACTCAAATTGTTTCTTGCAGAATATATTTTCACACAAGTATTTTCTTTCTCTCTATGTTCAATCTATGACTAATCACAATTTGTTTTGTCTTTGACTAATTTATGATTTTATTAGTTCTTTTTTTTCTACAGATTTCATAAATCAATTATTGTTTTTAAGGACAGAAAATATTCTTTCTTTAGAATGGTAGACTATTATTATGAATGACATGGATTTTGTCAATATTCATAATTAAATCTGTTACATAAAAAAGAATAATTAAAATATTATTAGCTGTGCTTCGCTCGATCGTCATATATGCCAATATAACTGAAGAATCTATCATGAAAAGCTACTAGTCTGTGCATAAAGTAGAACTCATTTGGATATGAAGTATCGAAAAAAAAGACGGATGATATTGAACATTTGCTTCCCAGGTAGATCATAGATCTACATGCAATTGGAATAGCATGGAAATTTTCTATCGAATTCGCTCATCTTTTTGATTTTTCAAAAATGGCTCATATTCTAGGCAAGTGATGTGAATGTTGCGACTTTTTAAGAAAACTAATATTTCTAGGGTATTCCAATCAGGATGTCAGATCGAAATACCCTTGATTGGATTCTTGTTGCATGAAACATGCCATTGCCGACATTTTGAGTAAAACGACTGTAACACTGAAAGGGAAATCTAATGATATTCATTGATTTTACAGTTCAAGGGATTTGGTCATGAAATATTTTCTTTTGAATATCTGTAAAACAGCACTGCTACCGTTTTCTCAAATATCTGAATATCAATTGGCGTAAATCTCATCAAATTGAAACAAATATTATTGTTTTAACTTTTAGTTTACTCATCTTTCGGTTACATATTTTCATAATAGATGCTTGTGATTAGAGTCATAATAATATAGATCGTAGTACGTATAATTGCACGTTTTTCATTTTCATAACTTTCATATATAAATTAGCAATAAAATAACGATTTTTCTTCTTCCACCGATGGTAAATACATCAATCCGAATTTAAATCCCATCGTTTGAAACAATTCTAGTTGAAATAGAATACGATATAATATTGATTGAAGAATACATTCAAAGAAACATCACCATAAAAACGATGAAGAATTAATTTTCATAAAATGTTCTATAGAACAATCATTTGAAAATTATTTTGAATATTTTTAAAGAATATTATTATCCTATCTAGCAAATTTGGTATACAGATAATATTAAATAAAGTAGTTTTATGTTGCTGCAGAAGTTTGCAATCCGTTGATCCGCTTGAAATTTAGTCACGCTTTAAATAAAATTAAAATTTGCTATCTTCTTTCATAATAATATTTTGGAAATGGTTCATCATCGATACGAATAGCTATTCGAATTATAAATCTCATCCTTTTCACGTTAACAACGAGTAATCATGTAATAATATATTGGCGCAGGAAACCTCGTGAGTACAAACTATGAGCATAAGCGTTTTCGAGTAGTTTATTCGAAACATTTCATATAAATGTAGATTGCGTTGAACACAGACTTCTCTGAGCATCGCTCTTTTGCATCAATCTGTGCAACAAAATATCTTTCTAAATCATAATTCAATGATCCATAGATGTCAACATCTTTTGATTGTGAGAATCCATTGAAATCAAATGTAACTTATCCTGAAAACTGTTTTTAAGCGCGAATGATACGAGTCAGAGGGTGTAGTGTATGAGCATTTTTTCTTCTTTCATTAACATCTAAATTCAAGATATTTGACACAGAAATAGAGTTGATCACTATGATTAAAAAAACTGATTCTTTTTCTTAGGAATAAAGATTGTATAGAAATGAGCCACTTCATTAAGCACGGTACACAATGCTTTTAAATGTGTTTTAAACACCCTTATATACCGTTACAGACAAATGAACTGTCTTTTTTTTTATTGCGGATCGCATTTTCTGGCTAAGCAATAAGTCTTCATACAGCTCTCAGCGATTTATCATCGGTGTATGCGCCAATTTTGGTACCAGAATTACGAGTAAATAGCATCGTATAGTCAATACTTCGTGTACTTGTAGGAATGACAATAAAAGTCTGTTGAAAGCATGAACCTGGATTCGTTGTACAATCGACAGGTCCTATAGTGTGTGTAGAGGTGTCAGCCGTGCGACTGAGTCATCGCCGCCGTAGCAGTGAAAATTTTAAGATTTTTTGAGCCATCACCGCTGAGGTACTTTTATTACAGCCGCCGCGCCAGTGGCATGCGAAATTTTAAAATTTATTAGCCGCTGCCGCCGCCGTCCCCTGTCATTGATATCGACGATTTTTTATTTATATTTATATTTTTTAATGAATTTCGATGTTTTTATTCATTTTTCATCTCAATATGATATATAGAGATGCACCAATTCCTAGTACATGGTCTGATAAATGATATTTTTGTCTGATGAAGAACACAGTTGTCCGTTGATTCCATGGAGCAGCCAAAAACAGTTTTTTCGCCTTCTCTGAAACCATAGTCGGAATTTATGAAAGGTTTAAAAAAATGCTTCGGATTTTACGTGGATTTTACATAAAATTAGAATTTTCAAATTTTATTGGGTCAAATGCTGTGAAATCTAACTCAATTTCAGACTGGCAATTCGTATTAGACAAAATCGAGTGGCGGATCCATGGGGTGACTGAGGGGGATTCAGCTCCCTCAGGTAATTTTTAGCCGCCCACGAACCTCGTCCAGTGCAAAACCCTGGCTCCGCCGCTAACAAAATCAAAGAATAGATTTGAAGAGAGCGTTCAAAACTGAACAGGAATAATATGAAAAAAGATGCTCGCTTGATAACTGCGAATGACGAGCATGTTCTTTTTATACAGGAAAAAAAAACAATTCCTAGAATTTTTAATCTAATGATTGCTTGTTTTCAGTATTGAGAGTTGTCAACCGAGCAAATGTTTTCATATTATTTCTGTTAAGTTTTGAATGCTCTCTTCAAATGTATTCTTACATTTTGCCTAGTACAAACGGCAAGTCTGAAATTGAGTTGGATTTTGCAGAATTTGAGCGCACAAAACTTACAAATTCTAATTTTATGTAAAATCCAGGTAAAATATGAAGCCCTGTTAACATCTTAGGCGAATTCCGACTGCAGCTTCGGATGGAGCGGGAAAAAAACTAATCTTGACTAATCTATGAAATAAGCAGATAACTGAGTTCTTCATCAGGCAAAAATATCATCTTTCGGACCATGTACTAGGAATTGGTGTATCCCTAATTTATTTAAATGTGCTATATTTATTACGTCCAGATGTAAAATAAAGTTGTTTCACATATTTGTTTGAAAATATTAATGATAGTATATTGCAATAGACAGATTGTTCTTGTTCACAAAATTAGTGCTTTTTTAACCTTCCAGTCGCCGCCATGCAGTCAAAATATTCGAGTCAGCCGCCGATGAGCACCTCAGGTGACACCTCTAAATGTGTGTACTCAATACAGTATTGGAAGCCGAACGAAATGCAATAATCACTCGAACATCATCGTATGAAATCAGGAAACCAGAATAACTTTGATAGTAAAAAGATACTTCAGCAGTTAAAGTTCCGCTGTCAAGTTGTGCTGTTGAAAAGTTGTGAGGTCCATTGGTCAAATTCACACTCTACAACAGACTTGAGGGAGAACCACACGATCCATAGCCGCATGAAAAGCATGCAGTGCCAGCCTACGGATTGTAACTACCGTAAAGCATACTGCCCGTATCTTGCAGTACATTAGATGGTCCAGTTTGTATCCACCCAGCCAGGGCAGACACTTCAGCATCAAGATTTACGAGAAGATTTGGTGGAGTCGCTTTTGTTATAGCTAAATTACATAAAATAATCAAAATGCATCCCCAGGAGAATGAATCCTAGCCTAGGATCCGATGAGTTCCAATCGGTTCCTATTGGAATCCGACGGAGCTCTTCGGAAGGCGCAAGGAAACTATCGGATTATCGTCGGATTCTTGGTTCCGGAATCGATATCGGATCCTAATATCGGAAACTAATAAAATCCGACAGTAACCGTCAATCGGAACCGGAATGCTTCGGATTTCATTGGTTTCGACAATCGGATATCATTGGAAATACGACTGTCGGATCCAACATTGATTCCTCAACCAGGAATCCAACGCGATTTCGTCGGATGGTAGGACCCCATAGAATCCGATGGGATTCGGTATCGGATTGACTCACCTGGGGATCTATGAAAAACAAAATCAATACGAACTTGTAGTTGTTGTTATTGTNCATTGGTCAAATTCACACTCTACAACAGACTTGATGGAGAACCACCCGATCCATAGCCGCATGAAAAGCATGCAGTGCCAGCCTACGGATTGTAACTACCGTAAAGCATACTGCCCGTATCTTGCAGTACATTAGATGATCCAGTTTGTGTCCACCCAGCCAGGGTAGACACTTCAGCGTCAGGATTTACGAGAAGATTTGGTGGAGTCGCTTTTGTTGTAGCTAAATTACATAAAATAATCAAAATGCATCCCCAGGAGAATGAATCCTAGCCTAGGATCCGATGAGTTCCAATCGGTTCCTATTGGAATCCGACGGAGCTCTTCGGAAGGCGCAAGGAAACTATCGGATTATCGTCGGATTCTTGGTTCCGGAATCGATATCGGATCCTAATATCGGAAACTAATAAAATCCGACAGTAACCGTCAATCGGAACCGGAATGCTTCGGATTTCATTGGTTTCGACAATCGGATATCATTGGAAATACGACTGTCGGATCCAACATTGATTCCTCAACCAGGAATCCAACGGGATTTCGTCGGATGGTAGGACCCCATAGAATCCGATGGGATTCGGTATCGAATTGACTCACCTGGGGATCTATGAAAAACAAAATCAATACGAACTTGTAGTTGTTGTTATTGTCATTGCTTCGCCTAAAACAGATGATTAACACAATACATAATATGGATGTGGTATAGGTAGTTATCGGAACTAGGCAACGGTCCACACACACACACACAGATACATCATATACCAAGTTACAAATCTCCATTCGTTTATAAGACAAACAATTTCGATTTCACTTACTTGTCGTGCTGATCGTACTAGTTGTGCTGGCTGTGTTGGTGGTAGTAGTTGTAGTTGTAGTCGTTGTTGCAGTCGTTGTCGTTGTGGTAGCAGTTGTAACCGTAGTTGCTTTATGAAAATATGTTTTTAATATCATATAATTAACAAAATAAAAAGGTTCTCGCTTGTCGTCGTTGACACTACAAGTAAATCAACAGCATGGTTATCTGTCAAATTCTAATGCATGTAAGATTACTTAATGGTGTTTTTAAGAAAATCGTAAGAAGAATAGCACCAATTAGAGCGATCAGTAAAATGAGAGTCAAAATAGAGAAACCAATTATGAATCGTCGCGTTCTCATACTGTTGTTGACTGATTGTTCACCAATATTGATCCAAATTGACCTGTTGAAAGTATTTAAAAAAAAATCAAAGATACCTAGTACAAAGTTCATCAAACTCGGTGGACGGACGTCTTTTGTCTTTGGTCATATTAAATGTCTTTAATTCGTTATACGAAGGTGATTGCTCGTTATTTATGTCATCATTCCAATCATTTCTGAAATTAGATGACTCATTGGGCGATTGTAAATGATATTGATTCCAATTGCTTTTTGAAAATAGAAAACATTTTGATTGATATTGTGATGTATTCCATGTGCTATTGGAGAATGGATTAGTGTCTGAATTCAGCACAGTTTCATTCAGAACTTTGTAGATAGGTGGAGTAATCGACGGCTGGAACTCTGATTCAACTCATACACTTGTTGTTGCCACATACCTGCAAATATATATTTATGCCCAAAGAATTAGGAGTGTTCTCAAGTAGAGTCAGTATGTTGTCGCTAGAGAGCTGTGCTGCTGAATTATAATTTTGTCAATCTTTTGGATTTAAATCCAGAACTCCCAATGAATGATAGAACTTTGAATAGTTATTAATGATATATAGTATTGGTTCCATGTTAATTAATTCTTCTCCTAAAAGTAAATGTGTCGTTTCAGACAAAAGCCTATCACGTAGCTTAGTGCAGATATGAATTGCATCTTGAAAATACATATAAAGGTGTTTCTGCTGCATCAAGAACCAACACCAAGAACTTGGAAGATCGACAGATAATAAATCAGAATGTCCATCATAAGTAAAGTTAGCAAATAAATGAGAGATGATCGCATAGAATAAAAATAGCGACTATCACAATTAGTTGAAAACCCAAGAATACGTATACGTTAAGCCTTGCATTCTTGATAAATTTTGTACCAACGAAAAATAACATCTGACGATTCAAATTTATTATCAGTATCGTATGCTGCAAAAATATATGGCGAAATGTTAAATGAGGATGAAAGTGGTTGAATAAGATAGACGTTCAATAATGTTGCTCGTGTAATATCAGAGTACCATTCTTCAAGACGAGTAAATGAGTCGGTTGAGTAAGAATTTTGGATTGGTAATCCGTTGCTATCAAGAGGAAGATAAAAATCAGATAAAAGTATTTGATTTTGTATCATATGTAACTTTAGAAACAACTGCGGTAGCATCTTCTGCGACAAACCCTAATGTTGATTGGTTCATATTAAAATATTTTGAAATGTCGTCATAGTTAAACAAGCCTTCGGTTAGGTGATTATCTGAAGCAGCAACATAGACTTGAACAATTTGTATATTTGGAAGTAATGCAGGAATGTTTAAGCGTACGAAGTGCGACCTCCAATTATGTATAGACTTGTTGCAAACTGACGAATAATAGTTTCATAACGAAAACTTGTTTCTTCAGTTATTAATTTTCTAATCATATTATTCAATATAATGTTCCCAGATGAATGAATCCGACAAGCGAACAAAATCCGATCAGATGCCTGGCCACGAACCTACTAACGGATCCGAAGGAAAAATACCATTTTGTTAATCACCAATGAATAAGTATATGGTGTCAACAGAACACATGGGTCGAATGCTTATTTTGGATTTCGTTAAGTTCCGACACTGGAACCTATCGGATTCCAACATGGGGGTTCCGATTGTGGATCCAACACCCGGATACCGATAGAATTTCGTCGGTTTAATGAAATCCACACTATATCCGATAAGATTCCGACACGAATCCGATGAAATCCTACTATCAGAATCATTCTCCTGGGAATATTTGACATGTACTTTGAACCTGTCTAGCTTTTGGAAAAGTAACTAATCTTTGAAACAGATTACTTAACTTACAATAAAAGTATTATCTTTTTGAGCTAACGTTGTAGTTTTGCCACATTGGCATTTAACCAATATTTTCTTTCCAATAATATCAATAAAAATTTCATAATCGACATTTTCTTTCAGTTGAAACATTTTTTGACCATTGTTCTCTTTCAGTTTCTGACACCAATCGTTTAGTGATTCAATTATTTGTTGCTTGAGTTTTTCTTCAGGTGTTAAATTATTGTTTGGTGATGCAGAAGTGATCATTGATGTAACAGAAAACGTGTTTGCTGAATTATTGAAATTATTAGCTATCAAATTAGTTGTCGATGGACTGTTTCTGATAACAGTATTTGATGATGTTTTCGAAGTTCTCGTTAATTGATTGGATAACTTCACTAATGCATTTTTTAACAGATGCATCTTACACTTTACTCTATGTAATATACATACGAATTGTTGTTCAATTTCATACATTTCTTTCTTTAAATCGAGTAAATCGTTTGAATCAAATGATAAAATTTCGAAAGCGTCATTACAGTCAAGACAAAAATCTACATTACTAATATCTTGAAATTTGAGAAGCAAAGCCAATTTTTCTCCTGAACATTGTTTCATACGAAATCGAAAAATTGGTCATCTTCTAATTCCATGACGTTTTGTAGTATAACTATATTCTTGTTCAACATAATCAAATAGGTCAACGAAAATAAATAACCAAGCAGAAAATCGATAGCTAAAAAGAGATGTTCGTTGAAACTAACGAAGATAGAAATGACCAACTATGTAAATATCAGAGTTGTTCAGTGAAAAAAGAAGAGAGCACGTGCAATGAGATAAACAATTAAGCCCTACATATCGAAGTGGAAAATGAACAGGCAATATATAGCAAGGTCTCGCTTGTCTATCGTTCTCCCAACATTATTTAATGAATGAATTAGTTGATCTACGTAGTAATAAATATATAATAACAAAGCTTATTATTCACCTAATAGAATAAATCATCATTGGCACGCATAGTCAGACGAATCGCCAAGGAAAAGAAAAATGACTTCAATTATATCACAACAGCATAATTCGGGTCTCATAACTGATTTATTATTAGTTGTTATATGAAATTATACATCAGTCGATAGGTCCTATTGAACTTCATCGAATCAGATAGGCTTTTCAGTGGGATGCACTTTGGATCGAATCTGTGAATGATAATGTTAGTGACTAATGCACCATGTTTAAATTTAGAAATTGTTGTTGTTGTTTCAGTGTTGTTATATACATTAAAGGACATATCAGTCGCTAGAGCTCGTGAATCTGAGTCGAATCAATTAGTTTTTGGTGTTGGCACGGGTTGTAGGACGAATCAGTAGATGAAGTATCACAAAATTCCCGAATTTTAGTGGTACTTTGTATATCTCAGGTTGATGAATTTTTAAGATGGTAAGTTTGAGTACACTACTGGATAGAACTCAACGAGCTGCATCGAACGATATAAGTTTTGAAAAGTGGCAAGGCGAGGTATCGAATATATTTAGAAAATATGAAAAGCGTTCATTTTGTCCCATGTTGATAAATCATATTTTGATAGGTGTCTCTTTTGTCTTCATGTTATCGTAATTTTTGAACATAGCTTTAAATAGAGCTCATCGAGTTCTATCTGGCACGCTACATTCAACAATTGGCACGGTTGATGGGACGAATAGTTTCAAGAAAAATTCGAATCTGTCGCTAACCTCCCTTACATTATGTGATCGTCGGTTTCTACACACTAAATATATGTCTTATCATTTTATTAATAGTCATTTTGCAGAAAATTTCAAATAGAAAAACTATTTTGTTAACTTTTTTCATAGAAAATCGATCATTGTCTCGATATTATGTTACCAAGTGATGGTCAAGAATGTATTCAATTTCAAAGACTGTTGCATCCGTTGGATTCCTTCTTGGCCTATGTCATTCTTTTCGAGGCGAAGATTAATAAGTGTCTATCGGAAATGATGATACAAGTGACAGGTAAAGAGAGCACTACAGAGAGAAAGATTAGTTACTCGATTGATTTTGAGAACATCAACTATATGTTGAGCTCCTTGTTGTCCGATTTGATTTTCTCCGAGATAGAGTGCAGTCAGCGTCTGTGTAAAAAATTATGAAATCAATGTTTATTGATTCTGAAGAAATATAAAAAAGAGAAACTAGTTACTCGATTTGTTTTGAGAGCATCAGCTATATATTGCGCTCCCAGTGGCCCGATGTGGTTTTGCTGAAGACCGAGTACAGTCAGTGTCTGTATAAAATGGCCAGTGAGAGAGAGAGAGAGAGAGAGAGAGAGAGTAGTTACTTGGTTTATTCTAAGAGCATCAGCTATGTATTGGGCACCCTCTTGTCCTATTAAATTCTGTTGAAGGCCAATGTCTGTTAGTGTCTGTGTACAAAATGATCAAATCGATTTTTAATAAATTTGAAGAGAAAAAAGTAAACTGGTTACTTTATTCATTTTCAGAGCATCAGCTAAATATTGAGCTCCTTTTTGTCCTATTTGATTATGTTTGAGACCAAGGTCGGTAATTGTCTATGCAACCGATTTGATGACTCTGTTATAGCGGTGAAAGACGAGATTAATTACTTTGTTAATTTTGATAGCATTAGCTATATGCTCAATTCCTTGTTGTTCGATTTGATTTTCGTTGAGGTATAGAATTGTAAGTGTCTGAATAGAACGGTCACAGTAGTATGTAATGTCAATGGGAAGATTAACGTTAGTTACTTGGTTTACTTTCACGGCATCAGCGATTTGCTGAGCTCCCTGTTGTCCGATGTGATTTTGATCGAGACTAAGTATATTTAGTGTCTTTGTAAAAACAAATGATCACACGACTCTTTCCAGAACAGTAAATATTACTCTTTATTACTTCGTTCACTTGAAGAGCATCAGCAATATATTCAGTTCCTTTTTGACCGATTTGATTTTGTTCGAGTCCAAGTGTGGTGAGTGTCTGTACGAAATTATTCAAATATCGCTTTTGCTAATTTTTAAAAGAAAGAATCGATTTACTCGATTCGTTTTCAGAGCTTCAGCTATATGTCGCGCACCATATTGTCCGATTTGATTTTCTCCAAGGTACAGTGTAGTTAGTGTCTGCATAAAACGATTTTAAAAATGAATTATTCCAGAAAATTGAACGAGATATTTGTTACTCGGTTGGTTTTCAGAGCATCTGCGATATGTTCAGCTCCTCGTTGACCGATCTGATTTGTATCGAGACACAATGTGGTAAGTGTCTATTCAAAATATGTCGAGGATTGATAGTGACGAGAGAGAGATCGAGCAAGATATTTGTTACTTGATTCATCCTTAGAGCATCAGCTATGTATTGAGCTCCTTGCTGGCCGATTCGATTTTTTTCGAGACTGAGCTCTGTAAGTGTCTTGATATAGTAATAAGAATTAAAAACAAGAAAGTTTATTTATAAGTTAACTATGAGAGTAAGACTTGAGCCTACAAAAAGAAGTATGCATATATACAAATACAGTGAAAGTAGGGAAGAAAAATTAACACATTGCCAATTTAATAAAGTCTTGAGCAACGTCAGTTCATTCAGAATATACAAAGTTCAAGTCATTTCGAAGTTTTCAGAAAATATTATTAGTTAATTTTTGACCTCAACTTTCTCCGTACTTGCTAATATAATCTGACTCATCTCTGTATCAACTGTTGTTCACCTACGATAAATATTTTGAAATTATAGCAGGAAACTTACAAAATCGACAAAGTATCATTCAGAAGGTTGAATTCTACTGTTCAAGATTAAAGGTATTTGCAATTAACTCTCATATCCTAGAAACGTTCTTTTGAAAGCTAGCTATTTCGAATGAACCTATTTCGCTGAACTTTGGACTGAAGTATGTGACGATACGTCATTTATTTACCCACAGACATCAATACCAACACAATTTCAAGCTTTCTCTCATATATGATCTTTCAACCAAGATTAGGTTTACGAGGGAAAACAAAAAGGGGGCCAAAAAAAGAATATTTTTCTTACTGTGCTTTCTTTTAAAATATCTACCAAAATTTTCATATCGGAGTCGTTTAAATTCCTGTTATTTAAATTCATTTTTTGTTTTTTTCTATTTTGAGAAATAAATTGTTCTAGTTCTGAATTATGGTAAGCCGGAATTTGAATATATTTTCCATATTGTTCAATTTTCTGTTTTAAAAATTGCAATTGATCAAGTCCTTGCACAGAAAATTCAGTTTTAGTTGATATTTGCAATGATTTTAATGTTCCTTTTGTTTTATGTATATAATTATCGAAGTCTTTTTTGATTTGTAATATTTTTGTATGATTATTACTTGTAACAAGTATTTCAAAAATTGCTTTTTGCATATTCAAATTTTGCAACTCATTTTTTAGTGGATTTTTAAAGTCTTCCAATTGTTTCTTTTGTTCTTGTTCAGTAGCCGAAATTTTTTCTAACATATTTCTTTCGTGTGTATTAACAATTTCACGTAATGATGCTATAGCTTCAGTAATTTGTAATCTACTAGATTGACAATGAGTAATAGTTTCATTTATTATACTATCTGCTTGATTAATTCGATATTCTAATGATGATTGAATACCATATAATCGAGTGCTAATCTAAATGAAGAAATCAATCAAATGTGGGAGTATATTTTCGATGAGTAAAACGAATACTAACTTTTGTTTCTAATTCTTTTGTTACATCATCTTTCGAGGAATATTCATGATTTTTATGATTAATTAAGAGACAATCAACACAAATGACTTTCTCACAAGTATGACACCAATATTCTAGTGACTTCTTCAAATGTTTGTCACAGAATATCACGTCTGGTATGGCTTCTTCAATGGAAACTTGCTGGTGTATCTGCATGATAGGAAATGTATGTATATTTCGATAACATTCTGCACAGAAATACACATTTCTACAGGTATCACATTTGTACTCAGCTACAACCAATTTACAATTCGTACATAGATTTAAACGTTGAATCGAACCTGAAAGGATACATCATATGGTTTATCAGACATGGAAAAACGCTTTAAAATAAAAACATTAATTCTGTAAATTATAAACTTTGTGATAAACTAAATCAAATTCGATTTCAATCATGTCGCTCTTAATTTGTGAAATAAAGATTTGGTGAGTAAATTATTTTCAAATAGTAAAATACTTTACGCACCGTATAATTCTATTAAATCTCGCACGGACTGATTAAGAGGTAATGTATTGATGTCGTTTTTCAATATTTGAAATTCATCATTTAGAGGACAGTAAAATTTATCATCGTTCGATGAAGCTACATTGTAAATGCATTTATGGCAGTACGTGTGCGAACAAGATAATATGCGTGGGTCGTCAAACCATTCATGACAAATCATACAAGTAATCAACTCTTCAATTCTACTGTTTTTACTAAATGCCATGCCAATGTATCAATAATCAATATGAAAAGATAATACTGTTGTCAATCTACAAGAGTAACTATTAGATATTGTTCATCCAAAATTTTACTTTTAAATTCACTACTAATGACTGTAGGTAAATTCGAATATATTCATTGAAAAATTCAAATATTGATCAGTATAATCATTTATCGCTTTACAAAACTTTTGCGCAATCATTTAGGTTTCGGAAAAACAAACTAGTCGATTAAAAGTGGTCGCATACCAAGTCGTTTATTTGTAGACGGGAGGAGAAAGATTTAGAAATTTTTGAACATCTAAAACCGATCCATATCATCTTTTTTCTTCACTTATATTTTTGAAATATTTTAATAAACATTTGCTAATATGAATGCATCTTACATATGGATTCTAGGGAGCATATTCCGTAAGTATTTGTTTCGATAGTTCTATTGCTCAGAAGAAATAAAACTTCTTGTTATAATAAATTACCATCACAAATAAAGCAATACTCATTGATCGGTTTAGTATTTTTCTCTTCACTCTCGTTTTCGTTCTTGTCATCTCGATGTTTATTTTTTTATTGATGAAACTATAATGTTTTTGTTATTGCTCCTCTGAAAATTAATCCTTTGTTCTTTTGCAACATGCTTACAATACAGCTATATTAATCACGTTTCTACAGCGACTAGTAAATATATCTATGATGCTACCCACACCCTCAAGTAATATTTTTCTGCTTTATTAAATAAGAAAACAGAGAGAAAAATTAATAATTCAGAGCGAAACTTTATGTTTCACGATTGGTAATACAATATATATATATATATATATAATGTAAAGTAGTTAGATGAGAAGAAAGTTGAGCAAAACTTGCTTATTTTAATTCAAATAATGTTCCCTATAAACTATTAATTCCTTCACTTTTCTTCATACCTAAAGTTGCTCCCTAATAGACGATACGTTGAAGAAAATTCGAATAAGTAGCGATCACCGACACAATACTCAGTAGAAAGAAGAAGAAGAAGAAGAAGAAAAAAAGAAAATTTCAGTTTGTTGTCAATCATTATTATGATGATGAAATTTTGTTTATATGTTAACAATTGTTTTATGCAGGATTTCTTTTCTAGTGACGATCAGTAGGTGAAGGAAAGTATTTTTTAACATTTGAATAAGATGAATAAAAAATAAAACATTTTCAGCTTCTCGCAATTTATTTATGCATTGGAATTAAAAATGAAAATAAAAACAATAGCACATGAATCGAGTTTCCTTGCTTTTTTTTCATTCACACTTCTGTATTTCATATAATGAAAGAATTTGTAACAACGTAATATGTAGCTTTGAAAATTTCACTTGAGATTTGTTTGCATCTAACAAATTCTAGCGTATGATGTGAGTTATTCTGACTATACAAAATTCTTCTTCTTTTTTATTTACCAGATGATGAGTGAAGCCTAGTTTTCTAGAAAATCATTATTCAAGCAGTTTTTTAAAAAGATCAAACTTGACACTGTAACAAAGTCAAATTCATCTAAAGATTCTACTATTAACAAATGAAAATATCTCTCGTAAAAGAAGGGCTTTGGTAGTTATGTGTTTCGTGGAATAGTTGTGAAACCAAATATTTGTTTTATTTTCGTATACGAGTTCAACATGCTCGAAAGTACGTAACGATCAGTGATTGCAGACAAAAACATATTCAACAGTACTGTCTTGCTTTTCAGTTCAAATTATTCGACTCCAATGGTCGCTGCAGTTGTTAAAATCTGCAATTCTTAGAAATCTAGTCAGAGACGAAGAAAATTTCTTTCCAAAGTTTAATGAAGTACACTGTGGTGTCAATAGTTGTAATAATTCGATGAAACATGCTTTCTCTAGAATGCTACATTTTTTTCTCAAAGTAGCATGCACCGAGTCTCTACACCATAACTTAATAAGCTCTATCATAGAAATTAGAATTGAATATGTAGGCGTGAATGTGAAGCAAAACTCGTCTTCTACACTTACATTTATACAAAACTCATAATCTTTATCATTTTTAATGATAGTATGTTCTTTTTAATCAGCTTTAGGCTGTAAAGCAATATTATAACATTTGCTACTTAGGAACTGTGTTAGTTTGTCATGAATACAAATAGACGCACACTTACCATGCCTATGAAGAACAACGATTTTAAGACACGCAAAGCATAACGCACAAGTTAAATGGGTTACAAAAAGATAGAGTGGTAACTGATTTTTCAACATGAATTTTAAAAACATTCTAAAACGTTCACTATCTTCTAAATACTACTACTTAGAATTCGTTAAATATGATTGTGCTATAAAAAAAATTCAGTTTGCTTTATTGGGTACTGCACCATGTTATATAAAAGAAATAACTGAAACAGGAACTAGTGTTTCTCTATAGAGTTATTAACTTTTTCTTTTCATATACTCTAGTATCTTAAATAACAAACATGATCTATTATAAGCATGTGTAATTAATATTTAGCTCTCTCTCAACAGGTAGCCCAACAAGAACCTTAACCAAAGCAATTTTGGTAATCTTGAAATACAACTGAAAATAAGTTAAAACATAATAGTTATTACAGAGTTTAATTTATCTATATTCATTATTGTTATTCGTCAGTTTTTGTAATCATATTTCAATACTATTTCCAAATAACAACAGAGCAGATGTTACTGTTATTTCTAAGATAATTACAATAAGATTCAAATGTACTCAATATGAATTTGTGACATAATGCTCTATCAAACATGTAAAAAAAAGGAAGCAGGCCTCTTCTTTTTCAGTCTTCTGGATACAATCAGCGGTATCTTTATGCATGGGTTGCTCTCCAGGTTTCTTGCCAGGCATCGCTTATAAAAGAACCCATAAAATAGAGCAGTCATCCTATTCCGCAATGTTGAACATTCTGGAACCAGTTCCGCCAATTCCGGAATTAGGTCAAAGCTCAATACTGTCCGATTCCGGAATCACTTCTTCCAATTCCCGGAATTGGACTGAATTCCGGAATCGATTGGAATTAGACGGAACCCCTAGGAATTCCGAAATTGAGTCGGAAGTGATAAGCGGAATTCCTGGAATTAATTGGAATTGGTTCCGAAATGTTCAACATTGCGGAATAGGATGCATTCTCATAAAATACATTAATCAGCGATGCAAATTCGATTAGCTTTAGTAATTTAAATTTAAAATAAAAAATTAGGTGGTTAAAATATCAACTCAAATTTATGTATCGGTTGGCTTTCGAGTAAATAGCTGCACACAAATTATACTCAAAATGAACTTAAATACCGTTATTAAAAAAGTTAGAATAGCACGTCATCTACATGTTTTATTTATATCTGTAATGAATCTGCCACTTTGATTTTGCCTGTTCAGTGTTCGATGACTGCCGATCAGAGCTCCGTGTGGGACGGGATGGGACAAAAAAAAATCGTCCCGTGGGATAGATCGAAACATTTCGTACCATTGGATGGGCTAGAGATTTTAAAAAAACCATCTCATGGTATGGTGCAGTCTTCGTAACTGGTCCATCCCATCCCATGGAACATATCAATAATCATATATCCTATTAGACATCCCATTTATGCGAGTACTTATCGAGCTACAGAAACGATGATGCCATATTATCTTATCGTATGTTCATAATTTTATTATTATCAAGTTCATAATTCTTTTTTTACTTTCATTATCAAAAGTACATCAGTCTCACAATGAATACAAAATATTACAATATATGACAACATAGGAAAAAACAAAGCAACACAATAAAAGTGAAAATAGTGTTTTTAAATACAAAACAGTTTGAAAAAAAGAAATATTATTAAAAATGTAGAAAAGTTATTCTTGTACATCATGGCACAAGTTTCATATTTTCCATAGACCGAATGAATAGAATATTGTTGGCTTGTTTAGGATCCATTGGACTTCATGGGGTATTTGAATTTGCGGCCAATTCAAAATGCTTATGCCGCTACAGTTTTTATTTTGTCACAAATAGAGATGATTTTAATAAATTCGATTTTGCTGCAAACTCATATTCCCCATCATATGTCTATGTCAAAGTAATTGTATGTCGCAAAAATTTAGTGTATTTATCAAGCGATTCTGTCCCGTTGGACGAAATACAAGTTTTTAGTCCTATGAAATGGGACGGAAAATTGTTAGTACCATGGGATGGGATGTCAAAAAACATAATTCAGTCCCATCCCATCTCATGGTACACTTTTCAGAAGAGTTGCATCCCATGGGTCCCACGCGGGGCTCTAGTTTGAATACATTCGTTTAAGTACGTCGTTTGACGAATAGCCTGTTGTTGATTGGAGAAGAATAGTGTTGAGACACCCTTTTCAGACATGGTGATCCACACTAAAAGTTTTGGTTCGAACTTTTTCGTTCTTTTGAATGTCACTTCTGGCGGTGCTACACTTGGATCAGATGTATAAAAACCACGATTAGCAAAAATGGATTCATTATGCAACAAAATTATTTTTCATCATCCATAATTAATTCAACATAGCCGCTAGACAATGTTCTGTAGATCCGACGGGCACGTGTTGGAATTTCATTTAGTTGCTTGTCGGTATATTTGGATGCTCGCTTTTTTCTTCGATACGTTATTCCCATAGCTTTCAAATTCCGACTAATTGTCGAAATATTTACACCGAATTTCGGAGTGATTTGACGTAACGAAATACCGGTTTTCTGGTCAGCCAACCTCTTTAAGCAAGTAAACTGTTGCTTTGGTACCTTCTTCGGACGACCCCTTCTGGGCCGATCGCCAACGACATCAAATTCTTGAAACTTTTTAATAGTTTTATATATACTTCGACGTGATATTCGTTCTTGCAAAAAGTGATTGACAGTAATTTTTTCTTTTGACGATTTGCAATGTTCACATACTGTTGTACAATTCGTTTTGCAAGATATTCTCTTTGTAAACGTGTCATTTCAATTTCGGAGAAGGATTAAATGATTTAATTTATACGAAAAGAAAGCTCGTTCAATGCTCTATCACGTGATATTGACAGAAAGAAAAAATATCGACATTGCCTCGATATTTTTACAAAACAAATTGTGCAAAGACTTTTGCAACAGGGGCTATATTGCCAAATAAAGACATTATCCGTGCAGGAAAATACGAGAAGGCTTGTTTGATCAAATTACTCTCATTAAACATTAACTTTGAAACAAGTATCATTATCTTCTACTTTCATTTTTGATACTACATACCAAGATGTATATCTATAGATTATATATGGAAAGATATTCAAGTAAAGGAAGTTTATTTCGAATTTTTAAATAGTCTTTTCACCTCGGCGAGTATGAATCATAAATTCACATTCTCAATGAGAATTCACTTCTCAACGTCATCATTATGATTGATGAACGAGTTAGAAACGTACGGTCATAGCCATATGGTTCTATTATTCAAATGTAGTTCGTTTAAGAGGAATCGGCATTGCTAATCTACTAAATCCTCAGCATAGATTTCCAAGCCAACAACAGTCTTTCATGCAAATTGAAAGCATCTAGCGGCACGTCTGAAGTAAATCAGTTACTTTTAAAGGTTTACATTATGCGACAATGCCATGGATGACTCAATAATCGATTGTATCCATAATAAACATTGCTACACCTTTAACATAGTTACTGAAATAGTCTACGATTTTTCATTAAACAAATAAATCTTTATTTATTTGTATTTATATAGTACCATTGAAAATTTATTTGCTTAGTTACATCTGTAATTTTCTAAGCAAGTTTTTCATCATTCACAATTTTTCGTTTTGAAAATCTAAATTAGCATTGTAAAGGTATAACACGAATTTACAAAAATCATAACATGCATGACATTTTAATAACCAATTTCATGAGTTAAATTTAAAGTTTTGTTACCACTTTTAGTAATGCATAAATACGTAAAACATTGGGCACCCTCTATCGTGAAATTATCTTTTTTGACACATAATGAATACTGGCCTGCAGTGTGCCAACCAATCGTTTATGTATTTACTCTACGATTGAAAAAATTGAAACCATTAAAAAAACAAGATATTTTCATTCATTTGCATGAAGTGTGACAAAAGAAAAACTAGTTAATAGCCTTTAAAAGTTTCGAATAGCTTTCATTCAATATGTGCTTGTATTATTAAAGAAATTTCATTTTTATAAACAGAAATAAAGATTCAATTTCACGACAATGCATCGATCAAAGAAGAAAAATTCAAAAGTATCTTCCCATGATTCACCTGGAACTAGGCCACAATCGATAGTAACAAACGATCAAACTACTATTAATGAGAAAAGCGAGAAACCATCGATGCAATCTGAATCAGCCATTCGCGTATTAGTCGGTATTGTGGGTGTGTCATTACTGTCAGTACCCATATGTTATATGTTATCTTATATGCAACAAATGAAGAATTCATTAAATATTTTTCTTTATAGTGCAGTAATTTGCGTATCAGTTGCACCATTAACATATTTCCTATTGATAAAACATTTATTGCATGTGAAAAAAGAAACTTACTTTTATGTATTTACAATATTTTCATTTACAGCGATTGCTGATCTTCTATTAGCTTTAACAATTGATGAGTATTCATCGGCTTTTCATTTTTATTTAAATCAAGGTGAAGTATATTTGAAAACTTCTCATGGTTTATTTATTAATTATTGGGATGGTATTACGCATTATATATTATATTTAATAATGTTATATTGCATGCTAAAACAAAAAACAGAAACAAAATTCTTTCGTTTTCTATCATTATTTTGGTGTGGATCTATTATTAATTCATTAATTGTATTACTCGGCGGTGCTGCTCTTGGTCAATTTGGAGCCCATATCAAACCATCATATTTATTAAATATACCGTATACAGTATTTCCAATCATTTTCTTAGTACGACAATTTAGTACGCGTTCTAATTTTATTCAACAAGAAAGAAAAAAAATGAAAAAATCTCTCAATCTTAAATCATTACTCTTAAGACCCCTTGATATATGTTTTATTCTGTATATGATATTCGGTATTGTATTTGCAATTTTTCGTGCGTTTCATGCCTTGAAAATTCCCATGACAACTAATAGTATTTATTATAAATTTGAACCCTATATATTGAATGCGTCCGGATTTGCATTGATTCAACTTTTAACATATGCATTTTATTTTATACCCTATTATTGTTCAGCTATTAATGCTTTACTATTCTATGATCAACAACCGTCAAGATTTCAATGGTTACCCGATTGGACTATGGTACATGCAGGAGCTGCTGCTCAAGCACAGTTTTCATATTTATTATCATCTCTACATAATCCCCCCTTATTTCCTGATTCATCATGGTCACCTATACCATCTGAATACTGGTTTACTAGTGTCGGTCTCAATATTATTTTAGCGATTATACCTCAATTGTTTGCTTTTCGTATTTGTGTTGGAAATAGAGATACAGATTTTTATTGAAATATAGAATAGATTAAATATATTACTAAACTAAAATTTATCATGTATCATAATGAAATCTGGTTGTTGATTTAATTCATATAATATTTTTTTAGGATTTTTCATTTTCAGGATAAACAACATCTAATTTCAAAAAGCACAAATTTGTTTTTCTTTCTATTGTATCTATACAATAAAATAATAATGAAGGCAATGATGAAATATTAAAATTTTGTTTTCAAAACAAGATGTATTTTGTCTTTGATTTAGTCAAATGGTACATTTTTTGACCGCTAAAGGAAGCCCTTGATTGCCGTAAAATTCAGAAATTGCCAAGTCAATAAAATGATTTTGAAAGAATAACATTCGTAAAATAGTGAATATTTTATAATCAAAGTCTACCAGATAGGCATTATATTGTTTTTTTCTTTTTCTGATAGATCAGTTTCTCAGAAGTTTTGTTAATATTTTTTTTCGTTTTTGAGAAAAATATGTCTACTGCAGAATTGATTTTTCAATGAAACAAAAATTGAGTATCGGTAATTAAAAGTACTTTTGTTACTTTTGAAAGAAATTCAATGTGACAGCAAACAGTAAGAGAAGCTATTGGTTATGTTCAGCAATTTTTCCCCATTGCCATAGAGCTACTCACGTAAACTATTGTGCATTATAAAGCGAATTGTTGACTTATTTTTGGAAGTATCTTTACTGCTGTAATAATAATAATATATTCTATCTCTTAGGTTAACATTCATAAAATGGTCGATTTTAATACATCGGTGGATAGCATGTAACAAGGGAAGAACACATTATTAGTGGCTTCAATCAAATGTGTTCCATTGAAACAGATTGTTTTGATCAAATAAACACGGATGGACGATGTTGATTAATAATAAACGTTGTTGACAATAGATTGTAATATTTTTACAAATCATGTTCTTTATACACATTTATAATTGAAAATATTTTGTCTTGTTGAATGTATTATTTATAAACTATTTAGTGCCGAAGTTATAATGCTTGGTGACATAACTGATGCGAATCAGAAAATATTAAAAACTAAAAATATCGAAGTTTTCAATGTCTAGCGGATTTATTCATATCGGCATCAGTGCAAAAATAGTTGCACAATATCACTAAGACTAGCTTATAGGGAGCTCATTAGTATAATAGGTTGATACTTATCGAGTAGATTATTATTTGACTTATTTAAGAAAAAAAAAGCAAAGATTCTATATGTTTGAGAATTAGAGTATTCAAAGAATTCCGAGTAGAACTTGAATTGGCATTCAACTATTTCTTTTGGTATGAAATCAATTTCTTCAATTACATGAAGATATACGATCATATATTACGTATTTATGTAACATTAGGAATGAAGATCATTTGATATTTATATTGACAGCTTTCAAAATCTATGTCACACTTGGTATGAGAATTTTAGTTGAGATTGGAATGCGTGCAAAAGCAAATTTATTGAAAACACTTTTTTTTCTACTCGTGTTGCATAAAATCTTAGATAGATTTTAACATAATTTATCTATTTATGAAAATGAAAAAAAAATTATAACCTTCCTTTTTATATAATTATCAATATAAACCTAATAGATAGTATTGATTTTATTCAAATCGTAATCATACGAGTCATACTATAAATAATCTTATCTGTATTAATCATTTGTAGATATTGTGAGAATGACTCATAGATATTTTTTTCATATTTCAATTCTGAAATTTGTTTAATTTTTAACACACTTTTTAAAGCTTATTATCATGTCGATATAAATTTAACAAATCACTTCAAATACTCGTTGTTTCATTAATAGAAAGATCCTCTCGCAATTTAATATGATAATAACAGAAAAAAACAAATTCAGATAAATTCAATGTTCCCATAGTTTAAAAAAATATAGAGAGAGTGAATTTATCGTATAGCAAGAAAAAATACAAATTTATTTTTCTCACATAAATTCGATGAATCATTTAGTATCTCCATTCATCAGAAAAGATGAACAAATCAGTTGTATTCATTCAAAATAAGTTATTGTCAGTTTAATGAAATTTTATAACGATCACACACGCCAGTGAACCGAAAATGATGACTGATATAAAAACTTGTTGTAAAAAGTTCCAATGAATAATTATTAATAGCGAAATCTCTAAAGTTATGTCTCAACGAAAATTCTATAAAACAGAACTATTCCAAACTCGCCTGCCACATATATATGTACTATTTACTAATATATTTTCACAGTTTAAATTTTCTATTTATCTCTATACGAAAAACCCGAGAGCCTAAAATCCAGTTTGTTTAAAAGCTTTCAGTTTTGATCTTTTCTCTATTTCCAAACTGATATATTGATCTTACTTGTAGACCTGAATAGAAATTTTTTTCTAGTGTTGTAGAAGAATTTATAGCTTCCTATTCGTTACATAACCAGTAGCATGGACTTCTCTTGGAAACTTAATTCTCCAAGCATTCATGAGATAAGACTCTCGGCGATAAAAATCATCCAACAGTATTATCGACTTGAAAGAAGAATTAGTAAATATACTATTTTTACGCGCGTACACGGCAAAACCATGATGCAAATGTTGTTTTTATGCACATCGAAATAATATACAAGTGCCTTCTTTTGTCTTCACTGTTAGAGATAAGATTACACACGATAATTATTCTGATATCAGATATAATCTGTGAACTATATATTTTTCTTTTGATACGAAAAGTATATTGCTTTGACGCAAAAGAAAATATTATACAAGGTTACCAAGTAAGTTGTCCAAAATAGTTTTTTCGAACGATTAAATCCCACTGATGTGCTCTATTTGATCGTGATAAAATCACAGCAGGGAAAAGTTTACACTGAGAATCAAGAACGTATTTTTTATCGAGAAAAATTAATTTTGACATCTTTTTATACAGTGTATTATCAAGTTTTATGGCAGATGAAAATTTTCTGCAAACATTGCAAAGAAATTTCAGCTAAGAGTATGATATCAATTAAGAAATATTGTTCGAATCCATATTTGTGAAATGGAAGACTCAGCATATGTAATGCCAACGATCTATTAGTCTTATATCTTGGCTAGATTGTGGAGGAAACTCGTACTTTTCATATTGGACAATACGATTCAGATGGATTTTAAATAAAAATTTATAAATTTGTTTTGGTATGTACAAATTTTTGTGTGTAATATAGTCATACATGATTTCTTTGACCATTCACATTATTTACATACAATTATGATCTTCTTGTTCAAAATAAAAGCATTCTGAAATTGCTTTTTAGATCATTAATATAATCGTTTTTCTAGAATTTCTTCAAAATGTTTCGCCGATTTATGGGAAAACTAATGCCTATGAGCCCTGGTAGGATACGTTATTAAAGTAATGTGTAAGTCGAAACAGAACTAGCTCACTTATATTGCAGATCCGGCAGAGAATGATGAAAAACAGTTTTGTCTGATCCGATGGTTGGATAAAAACAGCCACGAAATTGTTCCTCAAAGATATATTAGCGCTTCATCAATATCGATTGTACTCTACGAAACATATCAAATCAAGATCGATAGCAGCGAACGAAAGGGAACTGTCATTTTAAAAAGTATAGCTATTTTCTTGACGAGTCAAGATCAAGAATATTGAATTAATATTGAAATAGGGACAAGACGAGATTGTGCATAACTACAGTCCAATATAGCCCCATTACCATATGTAGATGAAACAAAAAAAGGTGATCCTATTTTGAAAACAATGATATTCTTGCTCTGTACTTATTATACTTACTCTGTTTAGAAACTGAATCAACAAGAAATTCACCTACTGAAGAATATCACACTACTTTATTGACTGTAACCGATATTTTAGCCGATATAAAAGAAGAATCAAGTAAGAATTCATGAAATAAAAAATATGACTTAATAATACTTGAACTCGTCACCATTTAGTCTAAATGATTCCCCATTGACAAAGTAACACGTGTGAAAAATGATGAAAAATTGAACCTTTATTATTTCAGATGAGTCACATTGTAACATTAGTCGAGTAGTACAGATTTGAATATAAAGAATACAATGCTCAAAATGTCCATATTGAGCGGACTGGCTTTACTGTAGTTGAAGTAAATTTTTCAGTTTCCACCTAATCCCATGCAAATTGCAATAAAATTTGATTTATTGAATTTTTTTAAAATTCTATGGAACTATCAATAACCAGTTTTTATACTGTATTTCAAATATTATGACGTAGATGAATTTGATTCTGAAATTAAATAAAATCCAGCTGCGACACACACAGTAACTCATTATGTGACTGTTTGAATGCCTAAATACATCGGTCTTTCTTAACGACATTTTCGATGGAAACACAACTTTTCAAATTTTATTTTTAGACAACAACAATAAAAATGAACAAGACGATGTGGCCATCCAGATTGCTGTACTTATGAAACTTTTACAATTAGTTATTGCAGGCAATTCTTCTAATGATAATGATAACGATAGCAAATTTGAAGTGCATAAGGTGCGTTGTGCTGGATGTGGTTCTTCTTCATTTAGAAGTGGTCGATAGAAGTGCTTGAATTGTGACAAACTAAATCTATGTGCTAAATGTTTCGAACGTCGCAAAGAATCTGAAATTCATAAGAGTGGACATGCATTCGTTCATTTTTAATCACCGGGTGAACTTTTCGGTCGATCTGTAATAGATGATGAAATAGCATTTGCTAAACTTATAGAACTCTGTGGGAATAATGTACATGAATCTGTATCTTGTGATGGATGTAAGATTGATACTATCAAAGGTTTGCGATTTAAATGTGATACATGTCCGAATTATGATCTATGCATTTCAATGTTTGGAAAAACAAGTGACTACTAAAACACATACATCCGATCATCCACTTATTGTGACAACGCGTCTTGTAATTCAACAAATTCCGGTAGAAGATATCGAGCTTGATGATGAATTAGGAAGAGGCGCATTTGGTATTGGCATATTTTTCTTACAGAATAACTAATTAAATTTCTCGGTTTTTCCGTCCTTTTCAGGTTCAGTTTTCAAAGCTAAATGGATATCAAGAAAACGTTCTGTCGCATGTAAAGTGATTGCTGTAACTAATTCGAGAGACGCTGAACTACTTGAAGAAATTTTTTTACAAAACTAGCGGCTTATGCTGAACCTGCAGGTGCTTACATTCTAGAAACATATTGATTTACAGCATCTAGACAAGGCCTAAGCAAAAGATATATGCCTATTATGGAATGTATGTCACGCGGAAGTCTTGCTAGTATTGTGAAAAAAAAAGGAAATGATATATCTTTACGACGAAAACTTGATATGACAATGAATATTGCAAGTGGGATGCGTAAAATTCACGAACACCGAATGATTCACCGAGATATTCGACCTGACAATATTCTTGTCAATGAAAATTATGTAGCTAAAATTGGTGATATGGGTATTGGGCGTGTTATTGATCCTCTAAATCAACATACACAAATTGGATGTACACCGTATACACCGCCTGAGTTCTATCGTGGCTCCTATGATCAGAAAGTTAACATTTTTTCATTTGGCTTAACATTATACGAGCCTTTCACTGGCAAACGACATACATTTCAAATGGCACCTCAAAACAAAATTACTTTTCACCAGAGAAGTCCTATATTTGCTGACTTGATCGCTCGATGCACTTCTGATGATCCCAAACGACGTCCGACAGCATTAGAAATCGAAAAACTTTTGATCTGTATATAACCAGTTTCAATGAAATTGTAGTTAAGGAAAATCCAAGTTATATAAAGCACCCTACTACAGAAAAAAACGAAATATTTATTGCTTTCTATCAAAAATCTCATCCATCAGCTACAGAATGTATTCGCAAGAATTTTTCACCTGAACTCCTCAACAATCGGGAAAATGTGCCTGGAGTTAAAGTTGATAAAAATAATGGTAATAAAATTGGCAATGATTGTCCTGTTCAATAAGATTTTTAAACATATTCATATACTTTTTCTACTTAGCAGTTCCATGGAATAGAGGGTACTTCATTGAGACATCATTATTAGATATGTTCTTTTTCTTTCTTTCAAATTCCATTGATTTTTTTGTATAAATGCTTTCATTTCAATAGGAGCAAAATCGTTTGTTTTGACTTGACACGGATGACAACAAACCTATTCTACAAGATATTTAATTGTTAGTGAAAGAAAACCGATTCCAAAGGCTCGAATGGAAGCTGAAAACAGTAGTTCTGGCAGATTCATGAAAGCTCAAAATATCAAATTTTAGAAATGTGTTGTGATATCACAGTGAAGTTGAAAGATAAAACTGTTATCGATGATTTATGCTTTAGAACGTAATTAGGGGCGTAACCAGAGGGGGGCCAGGGGGGGC